AATAAGATGCGATTCCATCCATCAAAGTGTAAAGTCCTCTCTATTCCTGGAAAGAAATTCAGCAGTAGGATATTACCTATTCCATTTATCAGATTTCAATATTTGCTCGGTAATACTCCCTTAGATTACACCAGTACGGAAACAGATCTTGGAGTCGTTATAAATCAGGGCTTTCGTTTTGAAGAACACATAACTAAAATATTGTCCAAAGCTAACCAAAAATTTGGGCTGCTGAAACGCACTTGCTCATTTGTCCAAGATGAGAGACGAAGAAGAAATTTATACCTTGCACTTGTTAGAAGACAATTTGAACACTGTTCCCAAATCTGGCGTCCATTTAATTAAACACAACTAGATAAGATGGATGCTTTTCAAAAAAGGTGTATTAAGTGGATTTTTGATGAGGAATTCACAAGCTATCAGTCCTTTGAAAACTATACTTACAAATGTCATCAATTGAAAATCCTTCCTCTCAGCAAGAGGTTTGAATTGAATGACCTGACCTTGTTTCACAAAATAGTCAATGGTGTATGCACACAAGAGCTTCCTAATTACTTACAACTATACAAAGGAAGCACACGCTTAAGATCATGTCACCATGACAGCCTAAGTTATGTAACGACTCTTGCTCAAACACAGTGTAATAGCAGTCTCCTTAAGAAATCATTCTTTTATCGGACACATCTGCTCTGGAATAAACTTCCTCTCGAAATAAGAGACCATAGCTGTCCTGATATCTTCAAGGCCAAACTTAAGGATCACCTATGGTCGGAAATGCTACCCACAGATCCAAACGATAGTCACGCTGAATTCTACCTGTCTGATAATGATTAGATGCATCTCATTTCTCCCAATGCCAATTCTCTAATCTAAAATAACCGATCCAAACTATTTAAGGGGTTAGGGGTGGGTTGGGTTGTGGGTTGGGTTTTTAAAAGTATTTTATGATATAATCTATTTCATTAAAAAGTTAACAAATTATTAACATTATGATATTTTATGCACGCTGTATTTTATTATTGCACAATCATCTCTATTACTATATATCTTACATTTATATGTGTTGATTGTATGAAATGTTTTGTCAGGGACCATATTTTGTAGGTGTAATTTTTGCACGAACTACGTTCTGGTTTCCCGTCATTATAGTACATAGAAATCACTTTTTGACCGTGTTATTTTCATGCAATTACATTGATGTATGTACTATTTTGAAAAGATTTTCAATAAAAAAAACCATACGCCGGTCACAAAAATTATTATATGGCAGTGATATGTTAACATTGGCAAAATTTCAACACCTGAACAGGGTAAAAATTTGTAAATTTCGTCACAAAAAAAAATATTATAACTTTATTTGCTCCGTGTTAGCAAAATAACTATTTTATCGACATAGTGATGGTGATAAAGTAACATTATATACTAATTGAGGTATAATTCTTCAAAATAGGGGCCAGAAATGTAAATTTCGTCACATCAGCCATAGCTTTAGTTAGATAGATTTTCTTTCATATCAACTGCCCTTATTATAGCTAGAATGGATTTATACAGGAAATATAGAAACCCATGCCCATTTTTCATCAGATTGAAATTATACTGTTGGGGCAGGAAAAGTAAATTTCGTCACATTTCAGTAAATTAGTGATATCAAACTCAGCATTGTTAAACTTGGGTTCTGATTTGCTAAAAAAACAACCAATAATTCCTGGAAGAAAATTGAATTTTAACTGAGGTATGGTTCTTTAAAATAGGGGTAAGAAATGTAAATTTCGTCACATACGTAATTTTAAAATTTAGATAGATTTTCTTTCATATCAATAGTCTTTATTATAGTTAGAATGGATTTATACAGGAAATATAGAAACCCATGCCAATTTTTCATCACATTGAAATTATACTGTTGGGGCAGGAAAAGTAAATTTCGTCACATTTCAGTAACTTAGTAAAATTAAACTCAGCATTGTTAAACTTGAGTTCTATTTTGCTAAACAATAACCAACCAATAATTCCTGAATTCTAACCGAGGTATGGTTCTTCAAAATAGGGTCAATAAATATAAATTTCGTCACATACGAGTACGTCATTGTAAAATTTAGATAGAATTTCTTTCACGTGAACAGTCCTAATTACAGTCCGAAATGATTAATACAGAGATACAGGAAATATAAAAACCCCGGCCCATTTTATAATGTATGTAATATGTTAATCACAGACTATTTAATTCTATAATCATTGTTTCCAAATTTAACCTATTTATGATGTCTTATCATTTTGTGACAATGTTTACATCAACTGCCCTATACTTGAATCAACTGTATCCGTGTATCGTCCTAATATAGAGTTTTCCCGCAAAATTTAACTTATTTACGATGCCGTATCATTTTGTGACGATGTTTACATCAACTGCCCTTTACTTGAATCAACTGTATCCGTGTATCGTCCTTATATAGAGTTTTCCCGCAAAATGTAACCTATTTACGATGTCGTATCATTTTGTGACGATGTTTACAACAACTGCCTTATACTTGAATAAACTGTATCCGTGTATCGTCCTTATATAGATTTTCCCCGCAAAATGTAACCTATTTATGATGTCGTATCATTTTGTGACGATGTTTACATCAACTGCCCTATACTTGAATCAACTGTATCCGTGTATCGTCCTTATATACTTATTATGTTCGTTCACATATTACGTAATCAATATTTTGGGAATTTTTACCCCCCCCCCCCCCTCCGTAATCAACCGTAATCAAGACCCAACAACCCCCACCCCCCCCCCCCCCCCCCCCCCTCCACCCGATACGATAACTTTTCCTGGAAATTAATGAAATTTCTGATTGATATCCGGCCAAGCACCTTCTAAACTATTTACTATAATAGTCGGATATCCGATCAATTTCTAAATTTTATCACTATCAGGGTGAAATTGAGTGGAATTTAAATTAAAATATTGTCAAATTGTTATTATTCTAGAGGATAAAAAAGGAAATTTTGATTACGTAATCAACAATCAACTGTAAAACTTAAACAATAATAATTACTTAAAAATTGAGCTGTTTTTCTGTTTTCATTTCCCGTGACCATGACAATATGCACAGAAATACTAAAAACAAAACGTGACCTAGCCTGTGATGAGATCACGTCCAATTGCACTTCAATTTAAAACAGCACTGACTCAATTACTCCTTATCAGCATCCTTATCAGCTGCAGTCATGTTTTACGGTATTGTATTACCGGGCTTGTTATGCGGGTGAAAGGTACAAGTGATGTAGGTCTGTTCTACTTCTAGATTGTTTGATTTATTGACGTTACTTCTGGTCTTGTTTGTGCGTAAACTGAATAATGAAGTGCGCTCCTTCTGTCGTAGAAGTAAATTAAATTCGATATTATGCTTTGTAATACCAGTCGATAGTTAAATTTAGGCACCACGTTTGTCGAGCTCATATCTGCAGAAACCAACTGTGCAGGTTTTATATTTCCATCACCTGGCTATCTTTGAAATGAGATGATAAAAGCATATTGGATCAATACAGCTTTCTGTATCAAGAAGGCAGTGTTACTTTAGAATTTCCAGTTATTCTAGGCGTCAATTTCAATAACACTTCCACCCACCGTCCCTTTATTATTTAATAGCTATTCAACAGTATCAGGCGCATATACAAACTGCTGCCTAGTCTAACTCTACCGACATCTGCTGAGTGCTGCTGCCTAGTCTAACTCTACCGACATCTGCTGAGTGCTGCTGCCTAGTCTAACTCTACCGACATCTGCTGAGTGATGCTGCCTAGTCTAACTCTACCGGCATCTGCTGAGCGCTGCTGCCTAGTCTAACTCTACCGGCTTCTGTTGCCTAGTCTAACTCTACCGACATCTGCTGAGTGCTGCTGCCTAGTCTAACTCTACCGACATCTGCTGAGTGCTGCCTAGTCTAACTCTACCGGCATCTGCTGCCTAGTCTAACTCTACCGGCATCTGCTGCCTAGTCTAACTCTACCGGCATCTGTTGCCTAGTCTAACTCTACCGGCATCTGCTGAGTGCTGTTGCCTAGTCTAACTCTACCGGCATCTGCTGAGTGCTGCCTAGTCTAACTCTACCGGCATCTGCTGAGTGCTGCCTAGTCTAACGGATTCAGCTGCAAGACCGGCCGACTCTGGAGCATTTTATTTATTAATTGACTGACTTTTCAGATAATGTGTTATGACTTATGAGCCTGGGCAAATATGGTTAAATCTAGGGATAGTTAGGCCGTTAGGTTTCGATCTTGAATTGAGAGGTTCATTGTACATGACATGCACACGTTACGGGCCACATGACACTTCAAGTTCAGGGTTTAAATTTAGGGGCACAATTGAATCTGCCTGAGTCCCCCCCACCTCTATTCATCCAGGGATAATTTTCTTTTGCAGAATTAGCTTTACGTCACACTTCTGTCATATCTGATTATCAAACCTTTTATTTCCGCCCCATCGTCTATCTTGTATAATTTCAACCTAAAGGTTGGTTAATTTCCTGTTATCAGTTTAGAAATTGTAGAACTTCTGAAGCCTAGGTTCCAGAAGTTTCCCAAATTATTGCGAGTCTAGATGCAGCCGTATTGGAATTCGTGACGTAACATTATCCAGTTTCCCGACCTTTATATTAACTTTAAAAGTTGTACCGGTTCATATTTCTCGTGTTTCCTGGGTAAGCAGCTGTTCAACTTCACGTTTGCTCTCTTTTCGTTCCAAATTTTGTCACGTTTGGTTCGTTAGATAAAATTAGCGCTGAATTAAAGTTATTCTTCATCTTCTGACGCCTGACGTGAACGGTTAAATTTCAAATTTATAAATATAGCATTTTATCTGTAATTTATTCTGGAGGATGATTGTATTATTGTAATCCTATTTTTGTATTACAACGCGAATCGTATTGTTATTTATGAAGATGGAATGGGAGTGCCAAGAGTTAATCGAATTTCAATTTCTTTATTAACATCCATAACGTAATTCTTTCCATAGCTTAAACTATAGTTTAAACTATAGTTTAATAAGACAAGTTGGAGAAAAATTGAGCTAAACGCTTCTTTGGTGAGTTAGATGTTTTACGATTTACTAATTGTTATCTCTGCACATGCAATCATGTTTCGTGATTTCAGTTCTATACAGCAATTACAGAGGAATAGTATATCCATCTTATATTGCAGAATTTATTTTATAATACTGTCTTAAAAGGTGACGATTCCACAAATCTTAAACGCTCTATCTCTTTAGGAACAAACAAGGGCTTCTATTTACAACACGTTACACAAGTTCATCATCAGAATTGTAGCTATTATATTTATCATCATATCAACAAAGTTCATTTTTTAATTGAATTATTTACTCAACTGAATAGTGAATTTTGATGATAAACATTTTCAGGAGAAGTTGTATGATAGCTACGGAGTGATTGATCTGTTATACATAGAACTACTTTGGGATCCCGGATAGCAGTAGCTAAATCGATAACTGTGAGTTTGAGTAATATAACAACAGAAACACGTGACATTGCTATAGCAGTTCGGCGACTTGATGTTATTATAGCAACAAACGTACTATAGCAACACTTCACAGTTGTATTATGTTTCTATAGTAACAGGCGCTAACAAATTAATTCTGTAAGAAATTACATTACTAATCGAATCATGCCCCAAAATCATGAATTTTCGCCAATTTCCTTTTAAACAAAACATATTTCAGATATAATGATGAATACCACAGCAATCCTTTCTCACCTCAAGAGGAATAACACACAAGGGAACACGGTGTGCCTCCTCTCAAACCACCTCTATCAAACAATCGCACAGGTTAACTTGCTTATTGATTGTTAATAACGTCATACAATAACGTTACGTCATATTATTAATTTCATTTCCTCTCAAACTATCCTAACCAAACTATCTCAACTAAACTAGACTGTACAAGTTAACTTTATTTATGCGATAATTCATTCAATTTCTAGTCACTGCCTCACGCAACTTCATAATATCACGTGACGTCGTGCTATCACGTGACGTAACATTTGTCACACTAGGTATGGTCTGAACTACCTGGAGTAAAGCTGGTGTACGAGCCACTATCAAACTACAACAAGGAATTCCTGACTCTGCTCACTACTCTGGGCATCACTATCAAGTGCAGCAACCAGGTTATAACACTGCAACTGTCACGTGACGTCATCACACTTTTAGTTGACGTCATCATATTTTCACGTGAGCTGCCAGACATCTAGAACCTAAAAAATGAAGCTATTTGAATGTCATCAAGTTATCTTCATGCTATCCTTTAGCAATAGCATTGTTGAAAATTGGGGTCGTTCCTACAATTAAGAAACCATTTAGTGTTTAAATATATCGCAAAATGTGGTTAATTCTAGCTTGCAGGAGTAACATAAGGTTTTATTCGAGGATTTGGACGAGGTATTGATTGGTTGTGAAATATTAGATTAATTAATGAAAATTCAAAAGATTGCAGGTAACATCGAATTACTCAATATCATTGGCAAAGTTCTTAGCTTCAGCAAACAGGTTGCCAAGCATAGTGAAGTATGTAGAGTATAAAGAACACAGATCATACAGCTGTGTTCTACCTCTAGAACTCCTTCTCTTCTTAGAGGGAGTATCACCAACACTTAACCGATCTATAGGATAATCTGTTATAACCTGATCTTCCTTCGTAACTCTGGAATACTCTTGGACATTGAGTTTTGGTTGATTCTCATTTGTTTCAAAACCTATGTATAAATAGCCCTCTGCCATGTTCTCCGTTTCTGTGTGCTTGACTGGCACGAAGGCTGCAGCTCTGCTGTGATAGCCCTCCGCCATGTTCTCCGTTTCTGTGTGCTTGACTGGCACGAAGGCTGCAGCTCTGGTGTGATAGCCCTCCGCCATGTTCTCCGTTTCTGTGTGCTTGACTGGCACGAAGGATGCAGCTCTGGTGTGATAGCCCTCCGCCATGTTCTCCGTTTCTGTGTGCTTGACTGGCACGAAGGATGCAGCTCTGGTGTGATAGCCCTCCGCCATGTTCTCCGTTTCTGTGTGCTTGACTGGCACGAAGGATGCAGCTCTGCTGTGATAGCCCTCCGCCATGTTCTCCGTTTCTGTGTGCTTGACTGGCACGAAGGCTGCAGCTCTGGTGTGATAGCCCTCCGCCATGTTCTCCGTTTCTGTGTGCTTGACTGGCACGAAGGATGCAGCTCTGGTGTGATAGCCCTCCGCCATGTTCTCCGTTTCTGTGTGCTTGACTGGCACGAAGGCTGCAGCTCTGCTGTGATAGCCCTCCGCCATGTTCTCCCTTTCTGTGTGCTTGACTGGCACGAAGGCTGCAGCTCTGCTGTGATAGCCCTCCGCCATGTTCTCCCTTTCTGTGTGCTTGACTGGCACGAAGGCTGCAGCTCTGCTGTGATAGCCCTCCGCCATGTTCTCCCTTTCTGTGTGCTTGACTGGCACGAAGGATGCAGCTCTGCTGTGATAGCCCTCCGCCATGTTCTCCGTTTCTGTGTGCTTGACTGGCACGAAGGATGCAGCTCTGCTGTGATAGCCCTCCGCCATGTTCTCCCTTTCTGTGTGCTTGACTGGCACGAAGGATGCAGCTCTGCTGTGATAGCCCTCCGCCATGTTCTCCGTTTCTGTGTGCTTGACTGGCACGAAGGATGCAGCTCTGCTGTGATAGCCCTCCGCCATGTTCTCCGTTTCTGTGTGCTTGACTGGCACGAAGGATGCAGCTCTGCTGTGATAGCCCTCCGCCATGTTCTCCCTTTCTGTGTGCTTGACTGGCACGAAGGATGCAGCTCTGCTGTGATAGCCCTCCGCCATGTTCTCCGTTTCTGTGTGCTTGACTGGCACGAAGGATGCAGCTCTGCTGTGATAGCCCTCCGCCATGTTCTCCGTTTCTGTGTGCTTGACTGGCACGAAGGATGCAGCTCTGCTGTGATAGCCCTCCGCCATGTTCTCCCTTTCTGTGTGCTTGACTGGCACGAAGGATGCAGCTCTGCTGTGATAGCCCTCCGCCATGTTCTCCGTTTCTGTGTGCTTGACTGGCACGAAGGATGCAGCTCTGCTGTGATAGCCCTCCGCCATGTTCTCCGTTTCTGTGTGCTTGACTGGCACGAAGGATGCAGCTCTGCTGTGATAGCCCTCCGCCATGTTCTCCCTTTCTGTGTGCTTGACTGGCACGAAGGATGCAGCTCTGCTGTGATAGCCCTCCGCCATGTTCTCCCTTTCTGTGTGCTTGACTGGCACGAAGGATGCAGCTCTACTGTGATAGCCCTCTGCCATGTTCTCCGTTTCTGTGTGCTTGACTGGCACGAAGGATGCAGCTCTGCTGTGATAGCCCTCCGCCATGTTCTCCGTTTCTGTGTGCTTGACTGGCACGAAGGATGCAGCTCTGCTGTGATAGCCCTCTGCCATGTTCTCCCTTTCTGTGTGCTTGACTGGCACGAAGGATGCAGCTCTACTGTGATAGCCCTCTGCCATGTTCTCCGTTTCTGTGTGCTTGACTGGCACGAAGGCTGCAGCTCTGGTGTGATAGCCCTCCGCCATGTTCTCCGTTTCTGTGTGCTTGACTGGCACGAAGGCTGCAGCTCTACTGTGATAGCCCTCCGCCATGTTCTCCGTTTCTGTGTGCTTGACTGGCACGAAGGATGCAGCTCTACTGTGATAGCCCTCCGCCATGTTCTCCGTTTCTGTGTGCTTGACTGGCACGAAGGCTGCAGCTCTGCTGTGATAGCCCTCCGCCATGTTCTCCGTTTCTGTGTGCTTGACTGGCACGAAGGATGCAGCTCTGGTGTGATAGCCCTCCGCCATGTTCTCCGTTTCTGTGTGCTTGACTGGCACGAAGGATGCAGCTCTACTTCGTTGCACTACTCGAGTGAGGGACTCCTTAGTTGGAAGTTTATCTTTCACTTCTTGTGAAGAGTCTGTCAGGACTTCTAAAACCAAGTTCTGAGGCGCCAACAGGGGGTGTTCTTCAGCCTTTCTCTAGAGCGCGGTCATGACGTCTCGTCTCTGTGGGTCAGCTAGGTCAGCATCATGGTTGTGAGGTTTAGATCCAAGGGAGAGCGTGTTATCTGCCAGGTCAAGGTAGCAGTGACAAGGGCACTTGGTGGGAAGGTTGTTCTTGCAGCAGCGCCAAGCTGATGTGAGGATAGTATCACGTGGTCTCTTCCTGGAGTATATGTAGCCGTCAGTATCCACTAGTTGCTGGCTGCCTCTCTGACCAGCGATAAATCTTGAAAAGGCAGGCATGACAAACGAAGTCGATACTGTATTAATACGACTACCGGACATCTAAGAACATCAATTTAACCTAATGGAATGTCATCAAGTAATTAGCGTGCTAGCTTGCAGCACCGTGGGAAATTGGATAAGCTCTGGAATATTATAAAAATTAATTGGATAAGCTCTGAAATATTATACAAATTAATTATCTACGAAATTGGATAAGCTCTGGAATATTATAAAAATTAATTATATACGAATTATGCACAATAATACATAATTATATACGAATTATGCACAATAATACAACTAAGAACCGTCTAAGATGTCCTACTGTAATCATTTAGCTTCCGTTCATATTGTAAGATTCGGTTAATTATATGATATATATATATATATATATATGAGTTAACTTTTAGTTTGAGAATCTGGCTGCTAGATTTTTAATTGAACCTGCCGATCTAACCCATTTATACTTCATCGACTAATTAACATGCAAGTTTGCTGCACCGTGAGAAATTATAGTAGCTCTGACATTCATGATGATGAACCAATTAATATGAATTGTATACAACTAGGAACTAACAGAGAAATAGAGACTTTTTTAGTGTCCATGTATGTTGTATGTATATATCATAGTAAATTAAGAGAGACATAATTAGGTCACGTCCCGTATCACGCTGTCACGTGACGTCATAGGTACTCTTTTACGTGACGCCATGCTTTTTCACGTGAAAAAAAACGTAGTGATTTCAATACTGTCTCGCATTTCATCTATCGTCTGATTTTCTTGTTCCCATACCCTTCTCATAGGATGACGTCACAGCAGCCCACGTGACGTCATACTATCCCACATGACGTCACAGTATCCCACGTGACGTCATGCTATCCCACATGACGTCACAGCATCCCACCTGACGTCGTACTATTCCACATGACGTGAACTAAACCCTTACTTTACCCCTCAGGAGTTGCTGGAAAATCTGACCCGTAAACAGAACGTTGTAATCGGAACTGAAAACCTCACGTCCTCCTTCATCAGAAACGCTTATACGAGAGGCTACAACAATTTCGCCGCGTCAGGAGAATCATGCGATGTCATCAAATTAACCAACATACTTGGGAACAACTTTAGGTGAGTCATAATTATCAAGTATCGAAGATTTGGCGACAATTAAGCACAAACATTGGATTGGAAAACAAAACCTTGTTTAATTGAAATCTAATTTTTATAGTCTTATCATTGTTGTATCTGATGACTGATCCATCGTGGTATTCAGGCTTACTGAACAGTTCTCAAAAGAAGAAGGAACAGATACAATCGTAAAGGAGGTCCTTTCAGTTTCTGGTCGTCCTGCTCGGGAAATATGTTTGGGAGTCCTTGAAAGTGAGTACTTATATTGAGTGACAATAATTAACATTGGCATGAAAAATTCTATCATAATGTGATGTAAAAAATTCTCGAACCTAAATTATTCTAATTTCTAAATGTCCATCTACTCAGCCCTAACGGAGATCCGAGCTTTAAAAAACTCGTTCATGGAATTGAAACGGAATCTACCGGCTGATACAGTCCTCAATGTTGAATTGGGACAAGAGCTATTCCAGTCTACTTCCCTCATTGCTACTAAAATCATCGTCACGAAAAACCAGGTTGGTTTACTTATTTTAAGTATTTATAATTTTGATTGTTTTACTTTCCCCATCAAAATAATTTTAAGAATAATTTCAATAATTGCAAATCGCAGGATTATTACATTTGGCGCTGTTTATTTTTTGGAGGAATTTTTTAAATTAAATTTGTGTTCAACCAATGACTTTATAATAAAGGAAGCTACAAATCACATGTCACGTTTTAAACCTGATCCGCATGCGGAAATGGTACTTTAGGATTTGAAGCTGTCTGGGCTGAGGATACAGAATATGAACTGGTAGTTGACACAGTATCACAAGGTGGGCTGGTGCAGTGCTATTGCCATGTAGATTGTAGACCTTGTGATAAACACTAAACAGCACATGACTTGAAATTTAATTAACGGCCATATCATTCAACAGCAGTAGAATAAAACTGGAATAGGAAATGCAACAGATGGGTTGTACGCAGCCCAAATGAACTCGGATAGGAATTTGAATTTTTTGCGTTTTATAATAAACCTTCTGCGGACATAATTTGTTAAAATTTATCTTAAATCGTTTATTAAGGACGGTCAGACCAGATACGATATTGACATGTCAATGTTTGAAGAGTTTGCAAGCTATCTTGACACAGGACACAACTTTACTGTTCATTCTCAACACGAAGATAGGACAATGTTCAGCTCTGTTTACGGTATGTTGTCATTTGTTCGTCTGCTGTTCTGGGAGGCGCAATACCGATATGCTAATTCAAATTGCTAATTGCTAATAGTATATCTATATAATATGTAGCCATTAAACGTAAAATTTCTTTTGTCAGTGGCGGGTATAACCTTTTCAATTATTAATATCAATATTAGTCGGTAGACGGGTACTTTTACTTTTATTCAGCCTTTTTGGCCGAATTAGGATAGATCGAAGCACATAAAGGATATGTTTTCTAATATTATTGATATGAACATATCCAGGCAACACAGGAGATGAAGATGATCTGATCCTAAAAGGAAACGTTGGTGAACTAGATGTCGGGGACTGGTTACTGATTGGTAACGTGGGTCAGGCTGATTGCAGGGGACTCGATATCATATTGCTAGACAAGGATTACAGGTCTGTAAATTAACAGTGATTATAGGATCAAAAAATATGCTTCACTTCCCCTGCCACCAGAATCAGTATTTATTATCTACATAGTGTAAGATTCAAGGTTATGACTCCAAATTCCTTCAGAGTGGTCACCAAAAGAAGACCCAGCAACTCCATCTCCAACTCGCTGGATCAGGACACCAACCTTCTTACCGTTTCAGCTTAACTCGCCTTTACATCACCAGTTACTAGGTCCTCGTTATATTCGCCTCATTATTACTCAAACGTATAACGCTACGATCTAGTTTCTATCTTATCACAATAATTAAGCTTTAGATTTTTAGGGTTATTAGTTTCTTCTAGAATTGTTCTTGGAATTAGGTATAAAAAGCCTGTTGACCTAGTGGTTGTAAAATTAATAATGTCTTTACTTTAACTCGATTATACCAAAAACGGAAATAGAGAAGGAACGTTTTCTATTAACTTATAGTGTGCATGTTGATTTTCCAGATTTACGTTTAGTTATATTTATAAAAAGACTGCTGTGGTATATTCAGTAATAACTGGACGATATATTGGGCCTGGGGTTGTTCACATATTACGTAGGTAATCAGCCGAGGGGGGGGGGGGAGTTCCCGAATGATTACGGTTGATCACGGGGAGGGAGGGGGTAAAAATTGCTAAAACATTGATTACGTAATTAGTAATATGTGAACGACCTAATTTTTAGTTGTATGATCCTGATTCCTATCCGATCGAATCTCAGACTGACTAAAAGTAAAAAGGTTGATTAGATTTACTAACAAATTATTGATCCAAGGGATCGTTCATATAATATATCAAAGGAGAAGGAATTTGTTCCGTTCGGTACCACATTTATTGGGGGTGGGTTGCCGATTCTAACTACTACCTAGAACTTACAATCGCGTCGGATGGAGGGAATCTAAAATATACGCGACAATTGTTGCCGACTAGGAACCGACCGGATTGGGGTTTTGGCTGCCGGACCGGATTCAGCCGGATTTGGATCTCAAATCCGGCAAGCCGGATTTTGCCGGACCGGAACCGGTGGTTTCAGAGTGAAATAAAAGGCAGCCGGATTTTGCCGGATGTTGCCGGAAAATTTCCTTCCTTTCCACGCCTAATCTTCATCGAGCACTTCTTGCAGCTTGCATAAGGGATCCCATTTTCTTCTGAGTAGAACAACCAGACGGACGATGTTTTAGATTTACTACTATTCGACTCGACTTAGGGCGGCTTCAACGTCCGAACAGATATAGTTTTTTTACAAATCTTCCTATCTACTACTAGACATTGCTTAAACAAGCAGTACGTAGCAGACAGAATGTAACACGAGTAGACACGAGTCACGACACTAGACGAGTAATAATCAGAAATGATATCTAATTGGCATATGCCGCCAGACCCCGGCCCTGATTGAGCGCGTTTGTGCGAATTACCTTTTTTTTTATGCAAGTCTGAGTATCATTGGGTCACGTGACTTACAACCAGAGGTGCTTAATAAGGTTGTTCGTAAGCAGGCACTGTCTAGTATAGTACTAATCACCGTCTGGCGTCTAGAGCTGAGTCACATGATTGCAGTAATGAGCTAATTAAACCCTGAACACGTGACCTTCATATTTCGTATTTCATAATCAGAAGATTAAATACTGCCAATTTTGCGATTATAGCCGGGGGCTAGCCCAGGGAGGTGGCCCAAAATATTTTCCGGTTTTTTCTAAGTCCGCACCTACCCCTCGATACACTATTCTGTATTCTGGACTCAAGGTTTCCCCCGGTAATGCGATCTCGGAAGCCAGGCCTCCCCTTTGCAACACGAGCTCGGAAGCGGGAGCTCTCGATACAGGAGGTACGTCTCGAGAACGACTCGGACCGAAAACTTTTAAGTTAAAATTTTTCGAAGTTTTTCTGAAAACCACTTTTTACCACGATTCAGGCTACCCTGTTCATTATTAGCCGTAAATATTTTTTCGGTTTTTCGAAGTCCCCACCTACCCCTCGATACACAATTTTGGACTCGAGGTTTCCCCTGGTAATGTGATCACGGAAGGCAGGCCTCCCCTTTGCAACACGAGCTCGGAAGCGGGAGCTCTCGATACAGGAGGTACGTCTCGAGAACGACTCGGACCGAAAAACTTCTAAGTCAAAATTTTTCAAAGTTTTTCTGAAAACCACTTTTTTCCACGATTCAGGCTACCCTGTTCATTATTAGCCGAAAATATTTTTTTGGTTTTTCGAAGTCCGCACATACCCATCGATACACAATTCTGGACTCGAGGTTTCCCCCGGTAATGTGATCTTGGAAGGCAGGCCTCCATTTTGCAACACGAGCTCGGAAGCGGGAGCTCTCGAGACAGGAGGTACGTCTCGAGAACGACTCGGACCGAAAAACTTCTAAGTCAAAATTTTTTTAAAGTTTTTCTTAAAACCACTTTTTTTCCACGATTCAGGCTACCCTGTTCATTATTAGCCGAAAATATTTTTTTGATTTTTTTTTTTCGGTAAAAAAAACTGAAATCCGGCAAAAATCCGGCAAATTTTTTTCCAGCCGGAGCCGGAACCGGAACCGGATTTTGAAGCTCCGGATATCCAGCCGGAACCGGATTCAGCCGGATTTCCGGTCAGTTCCTATTGCCGACGTAATATAAATATGTGAACGAGCCCTAATCATAATCATATAAATTCTATCTTACTAAAACGGATTAAACGGATTAAATTAAACGGATTAAACGATTCAAAAGTCAAATTACAATGGTAATGTCTGACCAGATATAAAAAATTAAATTTACCCAAAAGTCATAAAATATATAATATATACAATGAACCCTGTAAATCTTAAGAGTGAGATTCAAAATACTTAATAATTTAACTGAACTTTTCTGAAAGTGTTCCGAGTCATAGATTATAATTTGGCAATATTGTTAATGTTAGGAATTTGTTTGGAGGACGCTTTAGGGAATCTTCGTTCATGAGCTTTGGTAAGGAACCTTCCTAGGTCTCCGATGGTTGAAGGGTGTGCGAAGATCTGTCCAATGTCAGAGAAGAGTAATGTTTTACTTTGTTGGGACAAACAGTGGCGGAGATCTTCATAGAGAGGGCAAGTACGCAATACATGAAGTTCATCTTCGATGATTGGATCAGGGAAAGGAAGCTCTAGAAGAAGATCGAGTGACTCCGCATCTGTAGTGGAACAGTGTTTGCATGCCCTATTCGAAAGTTTATGTCGATGCATGCCATGTCTTCCAGTTTCGATGTTGTATTGATGCGAGCTTGTTCTAAGTTGCGCAAGTCTCCTAGTCTGCTGTGGCCGTAGGCTGATCGACAGGTATGTTTCGCAACCGAAGCTTGCCTTGATGAGGTTGTAGAATCCTAGTTTTCTGTTGAGTTTTCGCTCTTTGTTCCATTGTTGAACGAAAAGGGTTTTCATAGCTTCGCTGATTTCGAGCGGGTTTGAGATATCACTTCCTCCTGTCAGTTGTTTCACTGTGTTCTTGGTGGATTCCAGCCGGGAGAACCATAACAGATTCAGATCCCTCTGCTCGGCGTAAGCGTGCCTTACTAAAGAAGAGCATCCCTCTTTGTCAAGTCCCTCCAACCTCCCGAGGTAGCTATAGACTTGGGACGTAAGCTCGATGGCAAGCGGGTATCTTCCAGTGTCACCCCACACAGCGGTGTTTGAAGTCGATTTGTTGACATTCATAGTCCATTTCATAAATGATAGGTGAACTTTCTCCAGGGGGTCTTTTGCTGTATCCTGAGTAGCCGGATAACTCCCCGAAGCAAAGATAGACATGAAATTTGTCATGGGAAGCCAGATCTGACACCCGTAGGATAGAACAGGAACAATCAGAGTGTCGAAAAGCTTAAACACAGTTGTCTTCCGGAGGTATCGAAGGTCAAGCATACTCTTGAGAGAGAAGTAGCTCCGGAGCCCTTTTTGTCTAAGCTTTATCTGGGCAAGTTTTAAAGATCCCGTGAGTGTGAACGTAATTCCAAGATATGTGTACTCACGCACTGATGGCAAGGTCATTTCCCCGTAGACAAAATTAGTACTGTCCTTGAGCACCCGTCCTGCCCGGTTAAACACCATAATTGCTGTTTTTGATATGTTAACCGATAACCCCCACTCTTGACAGTAGGTATGTAAAACTTCTAACATTCTTTGAAGACTCTCTTGATCGAGAGCCAGCAGAATCAGGTCATCGGCCCAGAGGAGGTGGGTTACTCTAGTACTTTTCAGTAAGTATAGTATACTATATATAGTATACTATATATAAAGCGAGACGATATATATTTATCCGTGCCATTTTACTGACACCACGGCATCAACTTTAACGCGAATTTCCGCAAAAACCGTAAAAGATATACAACTGAAAATTTTTTGACTGGGTCAAATGCTTTAATGGCCTTCAAATCAGCATGAAAAAATAAAAGATTGGCCAAGAAATAGGAGTTTTAGAGCCCAAAATTTGGTACCCCAAGTGGTGTCAAAAACGCGAATTAAATAGGTAATAAGTATTTTAGTCTCTTGAGTCTTGACACCATTTTAGGGTTATACGGGAATTAAACGGAATTAAACGGAATTAAACGTAAAGTTGTCGGAGATGGCACTAACACCATCGACTCGACTATACATGAATGAATAACATACCTAGAGTAAGTAAAATTCGAGGGTTCCTGCTAGTTAATATAACCTGTTATAAGATTACTGCGTTCTAACTCGGCGGAATTTGTTCAATCTTGACCATTTTAAATTGCATACATGCAATAACAATTGATTTCATAAGTCATTAAGACTTAACTTTTTCATCCAGCAGTTATTTCTGCAAGATATGAATATATTTTAGTATTTAAACTATAAGCACTGTTGACTGGGTTGTGATATTTCTGATTTTTTAACCTAGGTTGGGTGTTTTCCCTCGGATTTATAGACAATGATCAAAGTATGTATTGATTATCCGATATTCAAAACAAAAAAGTCTTGGTGTATATATTTTTGTGAAATAACTGTCTGATAACACAGAATACTAACAATTAGTCACAGCTGATTTATTTTAGTGTTTTCATAGTGTGTCATGAAGCAGCATAGCAAAATGACTACGGCCTGTGAGCGCGGCCTCTTTTCGATTAATTAGTGTCACAAAATAGTTTTCCTACCACCAAGTTGGATTTGCTTGACGGTTTAATCACATCCCTCTTTGGCACGGTGCTAACAACGACCAGGTCGGGTTCATTGAGAGATAATCAGCTATTTTCATCCCCTCTCACTGCTTGACAATAGTAATAGAGGGTGTTCACAGCACCACTGAGTAGATTAACATGATTAACAGGTGACCTCATCTCCGTACCAAAAACCCTGACATTCTGAACTTCTCATGTGTTCGTGCTACTAAGTACCAGTTACCGGCCCGTGTACTTGATCCAAGGTATTTGTTACGATATAAAAATTATAACCCAATTACCTGAAGTCACGGCTCACTATCTAAACAACGATCATCTACTCAATTGATTTCGGTTGAATTATGTGTATAAGCAGTATAGCTGTCAAATGCCGTGATCACAATACAAACATTCAACGAGAATAATTATAAATACACAAAAACTAAAAAATCATTGACAATTTTGGAGATACTTGATTATATAGTGATTATAGGAAAATCTTAAGAATTTTGTAGACTTGGGAGCTTCGGTCAGATACACCTAATTTTATAACTAAATCGGAATGCTTCACTCTATAAATATCTTATTATGTTCCAAATTTGCTAGTTATTGCCGACAGGAGATTCTATATCCCTGATTTGGAGAGAGGGAAGCTTTTATAATGAGATCAAGCAGTCAGCAGGAACAGCAACGTGCCTCAAACTCTCAATCAATACGATTACTCTACTCGGAACGAAGAATCGTAAAACATAAAGATGACGAATATGCGTGGCATGTACATCATCTTCTTGAAACATACTCTTTGCTTTGGGTGCAGAGGTCATTGACCAATGGACAAGCAAGAAAACTGCAGCCGTCCAACCAAAACAATCTTCCAAGGTAACGTGACAGCAAAAATCCGTCTTCCGTTGAGGTAATAAAATTTGGAATGTGATAGTTAGACAACTCAATTTGATTATATTTCAAATGTTGGGGTCGCTGGGGGAGCTTGTGTAAACATTGACAATATTGAGCGTGGCTGCTGGATTCCAATAAACGGTCACGTTACCTCGCTCGACCAATCGCACTGCTGTAACAAGTCACGTGCCGCCAATGAAAGCAATTGACTGTGACACGTGTGCGCGGCTCGCTCTCCCATTGGCTCCCTCTACTGTCACGTGCACGCCTTATACTCCTCGATCCTGTTCTTTTTGGTTCCGATAAATCGAATAGCTTCGCACATGCACTGTATTTGTATAAGTTTCTCTGTTTGTCACCGAGATGTCCCAGCAACACGCCATGAGTTTCCTCGACCAGATCAAGGATGAACGTTACCCTCCACCACACGGTTTGTAACTTTCATTCACCTTTATTTCCGCCGCAAAGTTATACTCACACCACATTACCCAGCTCCCCTCCCTCTCTCTCTCTCTCGTGAGTGTGTGATGATCTATGTAGTTGTTTGCAGTGATACGGGGTATATCAGTTGCAACTCAGATTAGAGGCATTACCGTCTGGGGGGAGGGAAGCCTGTTCATGAATATAGCTGATAAAGGGGAACAGTATCAACATAGTATCACTGTCAGATTACACCAGCAAATAGAGATGAAATACTGCTTTGATATTGATATTAGGATAACTTAGGGGATTCTGCACGCTTATTTGATATGTTAGATCGTCATTATAGTTTTTCATTGCGTCGTCACGTATCGTGTGGTGGGCCAGCCGATGATTTTGTGTTGTTTTCAAGTTTTATTAGTGATTGTTTGCTTGATGATTGAGGTTGGAAGTGATCAGGTAGGGTTGTCGGAGATTGAAGTGGTTAGCAGTGAGGGATCCTGCTATGTAATCACTAGGTAACTACGTACGGTGCTTAGACCTGTATTAGACAAGTACTAACAATCTCCAATACGTGGACTTTATTATTATAGTGGGACTCTTAATTGTGCTGGTTGTGGTGCTGTTATAGATTACAATTTGTGTAGTTGATTGTTGTAAACGACTTTAATTTTCACAGGGTTTTATAATTATTTCCCGGACAGTTAAACCCAATTAAATCTTATACCTATAATCCTATTAATTTCTGATGACGACCGTAAAAAGATAAAGCAGGCTTGTTGTAGGCCTTAAAGCAGGTGTAAAATTACTGTCCGTAACGGTTGTCATTATAATTGTTCGTTGTCATAACAATCTACACATTATTTCGGGTCTCTCAATTTGGATTTCGGCTGTCACAATTGTTTACTTAGCTGTTCAATTTAAGCGTTATTTACTTTTTCACCTCTCCGGTCGCGTCAACACGTACATGCTGTAGTTTGTACCGCTCAAATACTTTTGTCATCGAAAATGTGAACACAACCATAACACAAAATCAAGCAGAAACGGAATGTCGTCCCTTCAAAACAGACTCCCTAACAATGGCAGTTCTCCAAGTTCCACAACACTTCACATGTGTTGCTATTTTTACAAGTATAATGAGAGAATGCCTGGCCACCATGGTCCATGGTCCAGATATCCGCCCTAGCGGCCGGAGACACCCAGTCTCATCGTATCACCTTCGTACTTCCAATCAGCTTCACGCGCTGAGCCGGCTATCACTTTGACAGCATCTCAGAAGTGAGATATCAGTTGTGAGATCCAATCAGAAGTGAAATTTCAGATGTGATAGCCAATCAGAAGGAGGGGTATTGTCACGTGGAGTGAGGTGGACGATTGGTGTATGCTTGTGGGCTATTGAGTTTCACTGCACAGAAAGTTATCCGTTCTTGAGCAAATACTTTCAACATTCCTCCATCCTCGCCGTTTTTATTAGTTTGTTTCCTGTTTGTGGAGCTGAGTACAGAGGTTTTAACTTATAAGCCTTATATTTTTCTTTGAGTACGTTTTGTGTTTTCAAGATTTGTGAAAACTTGCCGGCAATCAAGCAGAGTTATTGAGAACTGGAAGTGCAAGAGCTAATCAGAGAAGAGCTATCCAGTATCTGACCCTTAACCCTAAACATTGATCCAGTGAGCTGTAAAACTGCGATGAAATTTGAAGTTGAACACGAAGAAACTGTGAATTTCGAAGTGAAACATGAACCCTGCATGAGCTATGAAGTGAAACATGAACCGTTTTCTACCCTTGCACTGTGTAACAGCTCTATCTGGAAACCACCTCGACCAGCACAACTTCAAGGTACTTATAGTCCCAATCTCAACCTCATTCAAGGAAATATGTTAGCTTTTTTCATCATCTGAACAAGTTTCTGACAAAAACTCACCATTCCTAAAATCTTAAGTTACAGCAAACATAATAATTCCTAGTAGGGTGAGTTGACGACTTACACTAACATGCTAATTGATTTATCCTGATTTTAACAGAAAGGGAGCCCTAAATAAACAAACTCTCATCCGGCCCACTATAATATTGAATCATAACCTTATTCGGAGTAACTCCCTTCACCCCTGGTGGAAGGGAGCCCTATAATACTCAATAACAAACACTCATCCGGTCTCCTGCTTTAAATCATAACCATATTCGGAGGAGAACACATAATCTTGTAATTATTTGGCAATTGGCATATCTGTAGAATGGTATGCGTCAAATCCAGACTTTGGTGATCTGGCTAAAACTAACGTCCTCGTTCCATATTATTAGATGTGGGAAATTATCAGATAACGGAGCGGCAGAGCCACAATTCCCAGACATTTTCCAGGACCGTTGTCTGCGTCCAATTCCCAGGTTAAATCCAGGTTTGTCTCATTGACTGAGGTATGGAAACTGCAGACAGGATCAAAGCTCTTGTCATGATGAACACATATACTGCAGCCACTTGATCAGCTAGTGTCTGTCTGCTCATCAATTGACAGTGTTCTTGAGCAGTAATCTGTTACGTCGTGTCACGTGTTAATCACAGAATCACGTGTTAATCACCGGATCACATGACATTATGTTGTCCTGTTCCGTTCAGAGTCTCTCAGACCACGTGTTAAGTGGGTCTCGTCACGTGATAATCAAGAAAGCAGGTTATTGAGCGGTCTGGGGTCAATTAACACGCTCAATTATCTGTGGGAACATGATTTGGACACGATTCTTTAAAAGATGTTCCGTACAGCAGTTCATATCATACCCACTTCCACTTTGACGAGATTTTCATAGTGCCTGTTTTTTTTATTCAAATTGTTTCAATATTCGGTTGAAGCCAAGTATTCATTATGACTTATTTGGATTACTGTGCTATCTGTGGTATGTGACTTTAAAGATTTTGATTTTGAGGTTCTCTCAGATTTTGTATGCGCAATGCGATTCCGCAGACTTGATTTTATAGAAAATTCATCCGACGAAATTGTTTTTCCAATTCATTTGGTATGTTCCTATTTTAAATCACCTGACTGTAATTACTGAAATTGAAAATGTGGGTTGATTTTGATTTTTTCTCGATCTTAGTAAAAGCCATCCTCTCATTTGCTCCGTTCATTCTAAGTGAATCCCCCCCTCAGTAAGATTTATCGCAACATAACAGCATAATTTGGAACTTTGCTACCATAAGAACAAGGAAGAAATCCGGACAAGTTTGTCATGAATCTAAAGGTGTTTATGCCTTTAGCAGGGTAGTGTTGGTTATGTGCCTAACCTGGTGAGCACAGTTGATATCCTTGCTGTACGGCTAGTTAAACAAGGAATTGAAACTGTGGGGCTCCGTGCAGACCAACCTACCTGTGGCTAAAGCTCTAATATACAAAAACATTATCGGGGTGGTGGAGTAACTATTTGCCTCATGGTAGTGTTTTTACTGGTCCACATTCTTGTTCATAATTAACTGAAATAATCGTCAATTACCCTCCTTTGTTTGTAGTCTCCGGACTCTTTCACTCATTTATCCAATCAGTAATTCGATTATATCGTCGGTCAGTTTTACGCAAGGACGCCCAAAGTCACATACACCGTATAACTGCGAACTTAATAGAAACAGTTTTAAGAAAAATTAACAGTTTCCAGGAATCAACTCCATTTTGTTGTAAAAGGTGTAAATCCCCGTCATTTGTTTTTCATGCGCTCGTCTGTTTCACTATCCCATGAATTTACAGAATATGTTTCACTATCTTACACTCATGTATTTCCAGATGACGCGGCAGTGGCCCTGAAACCCGGAGAATCCCAACAGCTCCACCACATGAAACCCCACACTACAGAGCATGTCCCTAGAGAACTGGTCAAGGTACCACCTGGCTGTGACACTTTTACTCAGGTCTTCCCTGAGTGTTCCTTCTCCGAGGAACAGTTCGGTTAGTTCCATTTTCACTTTCTCTTTGACGTAATTTTAGTTTGTAGACACTGCGCAATGAACCATTATACTTTAGCCATTATAAGATATAATAGCAATATATTTATTGATTTCATAATCATTACACGATCAGGTCAATTGTTCAATAACCTAATCAATTATCTGCTTTTAGAGTACGTCTTGAAAGAGCTAGAGAACAGAGGTGATCTTTCTGCCCTGGACCGCTTCCTGTCTTCTATCCCCCCACAGATATCCGGTCATCTAGGTAAGTTGGATAAAGTTAAACCAAAGTCATACTTAATCAAAACAACAGTTTACTTAAAATTACAAATTTGTTCCTTTTTAAACTTTATCAATAAGTTATAACTAGTTTGCTTAAAGTAAGTTTTGTTATATTGCTCACGTTTTTCCTTTTCCAGAGAATAACGAGTATCTGGTGGCAGCTAGAGCCATGGTCCGTTACCAGAAGGGGGAGTACAGGGAACTCTTCTCTATCTTAGAGGAAAACAACGTAAGTCTGTTTGCCTGATTCTTAATTGTTTTAAACGTTTTTGCAGCAGATTTGGCATGTTTTCTAACTGCACCCCCTCAGTTCGCCAAAGTGTCCAGAGCACCACTACAACAGATGTGGCACGACGCCCACTACAAGGAAGCAGAGAGACTGAGAGGACGACCTCTAGGAGCGGTAGATAAGTACAGAGTGAGGAAGAAGTACCCTCTTCCTAAGAGTATCTGGGACGGTAGCCAGAACAACCACTGTTTCAAAGGTAAGAGGACATATTCAGGGTGGTCAGACTGTTTGAGCTTTGGAAAAAAAAAATTTCCGACGATTTGTATTCTTTAACAGTTTAAAGATTAGTGTTAATTCAAAGGGGGCCAATCTGCCCAAGGTTGGCATTTTCTATTATTGAGAATATAATCTCTGTGGTATTTCTGATATATAGACTCCAATTCTGATCGTATCTAATAGATACTCTAACTTCAGCATTCCCTACAGAGAAAGCTAGAACAATACTTAGAGAGTGGTACATTCAGAATCCTTACCCCGCTCCAAATATCAAGAGAGACTTGGCTGAGGCTGCTGGACTTACTCCAACACAAGTAAAATTACGGGCTTTCTCTTTCACTTCAACGTGTTTAATATTAAGATAAATTTAATTTTCGTATCTTTTTTTATATCTTTCATACACCGGAAATATCCAGTGGAAATGAAATTCGTTTAAAAATTGAGTTTAAAATGTTTTCTTGATCAAGTTTTCAAAATAAAATTTACAGGTGAGTAACTGGTTCAAGAACAGAAGACAGAGAGATCGGGCAGCCAACTCTAAAAACAAGTTAGTTTATCATTTTCGCTTTACCATTTTCTTACAATTGTGGTGTTCATTTCGCTGTGTTCATAAATTTTGGTGCATTTTTGAAATAGTTTGTGGTAGTTTGTCTAACCTAACAGTCGTAAGTCACTCACAACACGAATTATTGCCATGTTTAGAAAGTTTTTGATACATTGTATCAAGTCCTGATAGTGTACGCGAGAAGGTTCGTACTGCTGAGTGCTGATTCATTAACCACGTGATCTCAATTTCGAAATATTATTGGTTATTATTATTCATTAACCACGTGATCTGACTTTCTAACTGTGATTGGCTGATAGTGATGCATGATTTAGTAGACTGAAAGGCGGGTTATTGAAACATGTGGAAGTAAACACTAAACATGTTGTGCCTAGTCGCCAGAAGTGGAACAAACAGTCACAACAACCACACGTGTTGTATATTGTCATGCTTATCAGCGTGAGATTTAATCATTGCAATTGAATGTCGATATTTGACGCCTAACATAAAAATCCGGTTCGGATACCAAATAGAACAGTTATATTTCCTATATCGGTGTCACAACAGCTTCCCCGCAGATGACATCACCCCAAACCTCAGTACTAATCCACACTATTTCAGGAAAGCTATGCTCTCAATAACTGGTAGTACCTGGAGACCATTTGAAGTGTCCCCGAATGTGGCAATGACAGCAGAGTCCCCTCACTCTGCCCCCTCCTCCCGCCACCTCTCCTGTTCTCCTCTCGTCTCCCCTGTCTCTATAGTCTCCCCGGTACCTCTCTCACCTGCTGTTACCTTGGTTCCTTCTCACAGTGTCTCACTTCAGGTAGTTAACGGTTTAGTTTTAGGAAAGTTTGAACTAATTTTATGAACGAGTTTGTTTAATTTCTTGTTTTATGCGGGTGCGACTTCTATCAGCTTTTGTGACCAAGAAATTCCGTAGAAAAGCCATCTTTTAATATCTGAGAATATTCTTCCAAAACGGTGTACTTGAGTACAACCAGATCTGGTTTAATAATGTATTTCTCCCCTAGGTTTCACCTGACGGCCTGTCCACAAGCTTTCTAAGTTCAGGACAACCAACACCCTGGCACTATTCTCTAGCTGGACTCGCTCAACCTTCCATAGAGACTCACACATCAGCCGAACAATGGACTCGAGGACTCGAAGGTAGTTTAATTAATGATTAATTCTTAGCTAATTAGCTAGATTTTTTAGACTTGATATAAGTATTTTAAGCGGGCATATCCTGTCCAAACCCAGGATACATGACATAAAAGATTCTTTTTAACTTGTTTGTATGAAAAGCATTAATAGGGTATATAAGTATATAGTTATATGTATGTGGGGACTGTGTCAAGCCACGTATAGAATTAGAGGCATCCTACAAAAGAATGGTTATAGCAACATAAGTATAACTTATAAGCAATGTTAAATCGAATTTATTTGATGTAATTCTATTTTGTATTTAATCAAATTTTAACCCTAAAATTTCAGCTGCAGGCATTGCCCACTACACGCAACTCTCACAAGTCTCCAGCTCCCTTGCCTCGTACTTCACTCCGCTGGAAGTGATCTCCCGGCCCTCCTCCCACCTCATCCCCCTGCCAACTCACGCGATTCCTAGTCACGTGTCAGCTGTGACGTCAGCAGGCGGCAACGTGACGTCACTTACTCAAGCTTCTCACGCGTTACCCCCACTTCCAATCACACACCCTTGAGAGTTTCTTTCTACTTCTCTGATACCGCGCAGTTCAGCTCTAATTTAACCGCTTGCTAACGGTGGATTTAGCGTTTTAGTTACTGTCGATATAGACATAGGAAATAACAGCTCACGTTAGCCTGAAAGCAAAAGAGAAAGGGAAAGTGAAGCTGCTAAGCCATTAAATGCTTTCAAGATCAACTGTTTGGGATATCAGCAAATGTAAATTTGAAATTGATTGATCTGTTTTCAATTCAGTCCTTTATGCCATGATGAAATAAGTAAGGGTTAAGTTTAAACCTTAACTATTACTTACTATATGCCGGAGAATTATTGATTATTATTAAAACTTTTGGTATTATTAGAACTGTTCAATGATTCAATTTTGAGAATATTCCTTGATTCATTACACTCAGGGCGAATTCAATGTATCACAGACACTGAAAGTAAATTTATGTTTACTTATATAGACCTGACAGACATTTGTCAGACTAAATAACCGACTAAATTAAACCTTTACTTTTAGTAATTGCAGTCATTTTATTCGATTTTTACCAATTTCAATTTGTAAATACGTTAAATGAGGGTTTCATATCTCAAAAAGAATGCAAAAGTCGTGTTGTTTAATGTTTTTAAAATAAATGATGTTGACAAAAGTCATATCATAGATGTTAAACTTCTCGCAAATACAGTTCACGAGGTTTTTAAAAACTTAAATTTATTTCTAAATCCTTAAAAAGCAGATAAATTGCAGGGTTGGTCATTCAGTCGGCTCATTATAATTATCATTATAATCTGAATCATTGCTCGCTTCGATAAGATTTAGTTTCGACTTTCGAGAAATGGGCGCGTCAAAATTCTGAACCTATACTTAAAGCAATGAGCAGATTTTAGGTCTTTACAGAATATGAAACAAAGATAACGACAAACGAATTAGTAAAAGTCTTATTCATTATTGCAAGCTTATTAATATTGCAAAGACATTGCATTAGCTGTCAACAAAAACAAATAAATAATTGCCTCTGTGGTTTTTTCATATCCTAAGTCTTAGCTGGAAAATAATCAAGTATTATTAGCCTTCATTAAATTTAAATAACTTTGCTTAATGAAAATCAATCAAGAAAACTTTTGAGACTTATAGTATAAAGTTTTAAAAACACATATCCGATAAAATTCAAAGAATGCAACAATAACATCGACCACTTTTAGTTTTCTACATTTTAGTGTTGTTAAGATAGCTTTGTTAAGTTTAAAAGCAAAACGTAGTTATAGAAAGTGATTTCGTCAATGAAAATCGTGTATTTGTCATTTAACAATATTATAAAAGTAATCACTGATATTTGTAAGAACTCAATGATGTATAAATAATCAATAATCATTTCAAATTTTATATTGTTAATGATATAAGTTACGGCTGGGACAGCTTTATATTATAAATTAACTTAGCTTTTGTCAAATTGTTTGCCATGCAAATTCATGTTTAGCAATATCCATTATGCATACTGTTCTTCGTTGATGCGGTCAGACTATACATTACATAAAATTATATTATTAAAGTTGCAAATCCTGCAATATATTAATAAAGTTCAGATTGAAGGGTACGTCCAGTTCCTTTATTCAACTATTTATCAATTATTTAAAACAGTTTTAGTCCAGCACTAGTTCTTATCAACTAATTGAGTAATTAAGGATCGTTCAAATATTGCGTAAGCCACATTTTAACTTTTAACACGCCCTTCCATCTTCACAAGCCACTTAACACATTATGTGACTATTATGTAAAGAATGCGCTGGCTTTACCTGTACCATTACCAAACCTTCTGCCCTAGACTGGCTTACGAAATAATAATATACGATTACGAACGATCACTTAGTTTCTGAATTTAGATACTCTATGGTTCGTACAACACAGTTCAACTGACAACCCCTCCTAGCGATATCATGAAATTCCGAAATTTTCCACATTTGACATTGACCATAATGGGAGAATGTGCTATTATCCCCGTCAACAATAAACAAAGACTTCATTTCAGTTTCACCTGATCAGAAATAACACAACATGTCCATCATGTATTCTCACTCAACCACGCTCTCGGATTTGCCTCATGAAGTCGAATGAGTTGGACTTGGTGCTGGAGAGAGGGTTGTACGTTACTTTAGCGGACTGTAGGGAACCATTGTTTGGTTTAAAGGCTGAGCGTTCGTTCCTGCGTTCTGACTCTCCAGTTGGTTCCTGGAAAAATAAAATTCTTAGCTTATAAGTATATGCTGTTTTTTAATAGTTAGTCGTTATGGATTTGTTGAGGCTAGAGGTAAAATTGCCTCACTTATCATTGATCTGAATGGAAAGGAGTAGTAAATAAAACTGTGTGGTAGTTGAGAAATACGGATGGTGATTAATCAATTTACACTCGACTATCAGTATCACGTGATTAACTTAAACATGTTCTCTATAGATGGCCTGGCCCTGAGGGACTATTCAAAAACCTTACTCTCTACTCGGACCCCAAGACCAACCCTAATCCTAACCCAATCGAAATCCCTAACTGAAGCATATGCTATCTAAGTAAATCTAACGATAAATTATACCAACTTCCTTATATTAATATGGCTATGTCACGTGATCGAATTAACATTTTTTTGTTTTTAAGTTGGTTTCAAGTTGGTTCAACTGCAAACTGTCGGGGGCCCTTCTTGAAGAATCTCGAACTTTGAGTGTAAAGTGATTTAGCACGCTCGAAAACAGAAAAAGGGAGTGATTTGGAGCGTTTTATACGAGCGTTTTATCCGAGCGTTTTTTATAGTATAACGGAGATAATGTCGGGGAGGTGGTCACAGTTAGTGTTACTGTTACTTGTATTGTACTGTTAGTGTTACTTGTATAATGCTCATTATGCAGCTGTTTATTAAACTGACCTGGGTTGACGGATTGAAAGGACAGGGGCGTTTCTTTTCTTGTTTACCTTTCATATCTGTCTCAGCTACCTGCTTCTTCCATTTCATACGCCGGTTTTGAAACCAAGTCTTCACCTGCCAATATGGAATTTAGAAACTCTTTTAACTCCGAAACAATAAATAAAGTAACCGAAACTACAAATCAAACTCTAAATCGATATGTGAAACTGAAAGTAACCTGAGTTTCAGAGAGACGTAGAGAAACAGCTAATTCCATTCTCTCCGGCACTGAAAGGTACTTTTGCGTGCCAAACTGGCTTTCCAGTCCCTGATTAATTATAGTTTAATTGGTTGAATTATAACTGTTGGGTTTGTATGCTGTGCTGAGGAAGCCGCCAGTAAACACATTCATTCACTTTCACTCAGTGAGACAAGTTCATTAACTTTCACTTTCACTCGTCGTCGCATATTCTCAATTATTTCACTTAACTTCACAAATCTATTATATAACACTAACCTGTAACTGATCATCAGTGAACACAGTCCGTGCTTTTCTCCTCCGTATCTGTCTTTGCCAGATATCAGGTCTAAGATGAGGGAGTAACATGGCTGCAGCTGCCACATTGCTGTCTGAAACGTGGTGCAGTATAATTCCTTGCAATTCTGAATTCTAGATTAGAAATAGTATTATTTTTCTGACAGTTACACTATAACCGTATAGAGTAATCATGTTGTCATGGTAACCCTGCCATATAAGATGAGCTAGTAACATAATTTGAGCGTATGGTCATGAACCTCACCCCTCCAAGCCAGCTAAACAAAACTTTCCAACAAATATTGCAGTAAGTATATTTAGCACGTGACCAATCATGGCTAATTACAATACAACGCCCTACATCGACAGACTGATCCCATCCTCGCTGAGCCAGTCTGAGCTCACACAGCACACTTAGCACTGTTGGAATTCATCAGTTCATCACCGAACTGATATCACCCCACCATCCTCACGACTGGCACCAAACCATGAAGACAGTTCTGTGTTGTGTCACGTGATCGGGTGAGAATTACTTCACGGACCATAAGCACCATTATACTCCGTCACAACTTGTACGAATACTTTCACCGGCTTCACCTTTTTTAGGCCCCCAATTGTGTCATTATATTCGAATTATCGGTTTGATCAGTAATCGGGAGACGGGGAGTAATAATATTTTTTCTAATGCATAATCATACAAGACGGAATAAAAGTGCAAATTTGGTATAAAGTTTGGTCTCTTCCTGATAAGTTTCAGAGTGACAGGTCATGACCGTCACGGTCCCTCCTCAGCTTACAGTAACAGTACCTGTTCGTTAAGATCACGTGACAAAATATAAAATGGCGTGACTTCTTCAGAGGACCCATAACATCAGGTCACTAACCTGTACGGTATACGGTAATTGCTCACCCGACAGACCCCACTTTCCTCGCCTACCCTCTGCCGAGTGCCGAAACAGTTAAACTGCTCGAAACACTAAATCACGTGTAAAATAGATGATCACGTGACATATCCGAGCACCAAGTACAAGTAACCTCGTCAGAACACTCCCGGCTAGACAGAGCAGCTGGTGGTGGTACTACTAACAAAGAATCATATCGTCTGTATCAGTTATATACCCCATACATTGTTTCAGTTTCGGAGATATTAGTGCCAATTTGATTATGGTGCCAAGTGGTTACGGTCTCTGACTCCCTCAGAGTACAGTCCGTGCAGGAGATACCGGGGGGAAGTGATATCTATTATCTAGGATGAATTGTCGAGAACCGTCTAATTGGTAAATTGGGGATATCGGCAGACTTGTTAATTTGAATCACGATGATAACTTGTTTAGTAATTATGATTATTTGGCAACTAAATGTTTCGCGATCAAGAAGGGCCTGATTTGAAAGAAAAATAGTTTAGATGATTTGGCGAACAAATAGAATAACATTTTGTGAACGAAAAGTATTTTATTAAAGGCAACGATTGTGCTTATAGTTATACTGATATAGCGTAAAAAATTTGTCACATCGGAGACTAATATATGTTTATTTCATAGTTGTTAAGTTCGTCGAAGAAATGCGAAAAGTTCGTCCAGTTCGGCACCTTTTAAAAATTCGTGAAAATTCGTGAAAATTCGTTGCGTAAATTTTCTTGGCATATGTTTTGATATTATAATGAATGGCTTAGGTGCGATCACTATTACACTTGTAAACAAATGATACAGTTAGATAGTTATACATACTTGTATTGAAAAAAAAAACTAGATCAACAACAGATCATGATTAGTACTTCAATATAAACAGAGCCGGTTCACAGATTACAATTAAGCATCAATTATAGCAACAGCTCTCAACTTATCATTGTTATCTCAATAATCTATAGCATATGTGATCTTAGTGATCTTAGTGCCAGCACTAGTGCTCTCTGTCCAGATTGCTGATTCGCTAGCTATGTCGTTCAGAAGCTTTAAGTTGGAGTGAACGTAAACCAGCTTTCTGGCCTTTTCTGTTCTTAAAGTTCGGTTAAAGTTCGTCTATTTCGTTAAAAAATTCGTCCAGTTCGGCACCTATTTAAAGTTCGTCCAGGACGTCCGTAACAACTATGGTTTATTTTGTAGAAGTAGGATTTATGCTTTGAACCCCTACAAGCTATGTTTAAATGATTATGTAAATGGTTATACTTATAGTGGTAAAAATTTTGAAATATTATTTATTTTGATACATTTTGAATTTATTGGCAAAATTCGTTGGCTTATAGTAAAGTGAAGCAAAGATTAGTATTGATCACATGTTTCACGAATTCCTAAGATAATTAGCAGTGGACATGATTAAAAATTTGTAGTTGATATCAAGTTGCGGTCATAACAATCATTAAATAAAATTTATACTTATAGATATGCTCTCTGACCTTCCTGGTTCCTTTAAAATGTTCCCTAGTGATGAAATTTCGACGAAACCATTTTTTGATACACTTGAAACCTACAAGAACATTGATCAATAAAATTAGTCAATGTTCGGAATACAGACGTTTAGAAAATTAAGCGGACAGATAATTTGTAATTGAGGAAATTAGATTTTTACTGGAATCAAGGTCAACATTTTCAATTGTGGATAAAATTACCATATAATTTACAGATCCCTATTTGTAATGGTAAAATTCTCTAATAATTGATTCGAACAGTGCATTGCATAATTAATTAGACTAATTAGATCTTCATCTCTAGTAAGGTAGCCATTGTTATTAGCCTGAACGTTGGTCGTTGGGGTCTTATCTATCATGTACAAACGATTTTTTGTAAAAAAGTTTTTTGGTTTTGAAGATAAGTCAAAGTCAATCTTGTGAATTGGTTGAACTTTAGTTATTTGCTCGAGCATGGAGTGGTGTTGAAAATGCATATTATATCTTAGAATTGGATTTTTTTTTAAACTTTTACAAACATTTGTGTCTGGATTAGTTATACTGAGACGTTGTGGAATTATGTGGATTTAAAGCTATTTTTAAAATTTTGAACCATTACCAACACATCGAATACTTAATCCACTCCAAATCGTTATCATTATATAAAGTAATTCAAAATATCTCAATAGCAGAAGAACTTAAATTTATTAATTTAAAACTCAAATAAACAAGAATTGCAACTCACACTGGTTGAAGTTAATAGGGCTGGACTGGCTGTACTGAGGGTACACGTTGTACATGGGTCTGGAGCTCGTTATAATGGGGGTGAACCCCGAACTAAGATTAGTGGGGGTCGAGCTGAGGTGGTTGGAGAGCGGCTGGGTCGGCTCGGAACTCCTCTTCCCACTCCCATAGAGAAGACTCTCGATGGAAAACGGATTGCTTTTCTTCTTCTCTTGGTTCTGAAATTCAATTAGCTAGGTTTATGGGCTGAAATTGTGTGTATTGTTTGTACAAAGAAATTGTAGAAAATCGCTTGGTGAAAAATGAGGCAATTTGTTAACTGTCCAGAAATTAGTATGTAGTACAATTGATTTGTGTTTTTGTTGTAACAACTAAGTCTTGAAGACGAATTTTGTTAGTGGTGTGGTAAAAAGTGGTAATAAGTTTCCATGGTGGTAAAAAGTTTCCTTGTAAAACTGACAAATTTACTACTAATAAACCATGTGGAATTGAAAAAACTTACATGGAGCATCATGTTGTTGAGACAATTATCAGATCAAACGAGACGGGAAACACTTAGCAGACTTGAGGTAACGAGAATTATAAGTACAAGCCAAGTGCGTTGCGGTACTTTTGTCTCCATCTGTCACGTGGTAACCACGTGACAGCGCACGTGCAGCGTGACGGAGCCGCGCGCAGGTTCCTCGTTATCGGATATAGATAAGTCGAAACGGAACACGTGACAGGGCGTCCAACGCTGGGCTCGTCCCTTCTGTCTGGCGAAATTCTCGCTCCATTAGGCCTTGTCTGTGATAATACGGAGTTTAGGTCGGTAAATTAACGAGTAAACTGTTTCCCGACGTTAGGGGGATGAGCAGGTCAGCCCTACCCGACATAACATCATCACGTGATCAAAATACTGGCGTCCTATTGGCTGGGAACCAAGTATGGGAGCAATAATACTTATTTTTTTAAGAAGGTAACTTTATCAAATTTATAGAGATTAAAAATGCAATGGTGCGTGTAATGGCTGCCGAATTGAAACTGATTTCAGCCTTACTGATCATGGGCTCTCTGCAGATCCAACCAATCATTGGCTGAGAATCCCAGTTGTTGCAGTCACGTGGCTATAAAGTATATCACGAATATAGGGCCGGAAAATTATTTCTATTGACACACCTGTTGAACAGAAAAACGGACAAATTCGTGAGATTGCAACCAGGAAAATGTGGACATTTCAGACAGTGTCCGAAGTTAGAGCAACCGGTAGTGAACTTTAAGGCGTGTGCAAATAGACAATAAAATCCACCCTACCAATAGAGTGGGTAGCAACCATCACGTGTGCTCTGGAGGACCAATCAGGAGCCAGTACTAGAGTCACGTGGGCTATGAAACCCAATCAGGAGACAGAACAATTGGTTGAGCAGGTTTATCCGGTGTTTTATGAACATATAAAATAGCTTTATCCGAGAAATAGACGGTAATTTCACGGCCAATTACACCTTTAATGCGAGTTACTTGGCGACCATCTGCACACGGTAAGCCCCATATTCAGCCTCCCTCAATTTATAAGTATGTGCCATTTCATTGGGATTATAATATTATTGACCACCTGATATTAGACACTAGATATTTATTGGCTGGTTTTTAGCACCCAGTCGGCAAAAAGATTGCGTCTCTCGGATAATTGTTAAAAATTCAAGCTGGAGTTGAGCCATGTAGCACTAGCTGTATACAGTAGTAGTATAGTAGTATAGTAGCTGTAGCTGTAGCTGTAGAGAGCTCCACTGATGGTACGTGAAATGAAGCGTGGAGGCTAGCCGCCAGTTCTCTTTTTCTCTCTTTCTGAGACTAGCGGCGAGTTCACCCCGATATTCAGACAGTCTCTATTATAGTTACCAGACCTTACTTCAGGAGCTGAGATCCAATTTCACCAACAGCTGGTGATTAAGATGAAGAAGAAAACATAATACAGTATAATATACCCCGATTTACTGAAAACTCCGATATAACGCGGCCATTTCATTTTGATTTCCCAAATATGGTTCAATATGTATAAATATAATGCAAATAAACAAAACCCCGATTTACCGCAAACCCCGATTCACAGCGGCTGTTTCCTTTCCCAAAAACTTCCGCGGTAAATCGAGGTTTTACTGTAATGTCCGTAGAACAGTCGATGTGGTTTAAATGGTCCATATTTATAAGTAAAAGGGGTGCCATAATATCGGTGAATTCATGCCATACAATAAACTTTAATGGGCTTCTTGGTGGTTAACAATTTTCACTACAAGACTACAGGATCTTTTGGACCTTTAATTTTTGCGGCGAATTTTGTTTTAGGATGCACAAAAATTCGTTTCTTTGCCACACAGTAACTTCGGAAATTTACTATTCAGACCTATAAGACCTGTAAATTAATACAATTAAAAAATACGACCACGTACCACTTGCGCTCACGTACCATGAACATAACAGAACCCCGGATTAGATCAGGCCGGAAAATGGGTAATTGGTATGGAAATATGGAAGTCTGAATTACTGATACAAATTTAGCTCTTGAATTGTCGATGAACAATTCAACTTATTAATCCGATTTGACTACCGCTTGATCTGTCATAACCAATCTGAGTTTAGGCTTTATAAGAAGGACTTTATTAAGAAGGACCATTTGAACAACATTATCATAAGGGTAATAATCAATTCAGGAAATTGGTGTCCAGTGTTAATTGAGATACAAAATAAATGACTTGAATTAATAAACGTCTGAAGAAAAAAATGAGACAATTTGGTATCGCCACCTTATCTAATTTTTGGTAAAAATTACCGTGAAAAATGGAACAATGAGCCAGTTGTTGGTACAATGTTTGATATTTTTACCGTCACCTTATTAATTAATATGAAGTGGATGGTTATGATAGTGCTACAGAGTAAAAATGTGTCAAGTGCAATACTGGTTGGAGCTGAACTAAATTTCTTTTAAAACGAGGCTGTGTTTTGGTTTTTGATTTTGAATTTTGATTGGTCAATGCTTATACAATATACAAACAAGATACAACACCATAATGCCATGTGTTTAAAGAATGTGGTTCCCTGACCCCTCCCTTTCAGAATCCAGATCTATTAAGTGTTCCAAGAATACAGTCTCTAGTCATTTGTGTGATTTAGAATTAGATTATCATTAATCAACCCGTTAATGAACATTGATCAATTAACATATTTACAGAGTTACTGATAATTATGGTCAAGATTAAATTAGCCAGACTGTTTAACTCAATAAATATATTTCTATATTAATTGTATCATTAATCATACCCGCGTGTGCTAATCTTCTGTGCTTTAAAAAACAGTTCCATTTCCGACGACCTGCATTCTGGTGAAGTTAGTAAATCAATAGTCAATATGCACTGACACACCAGACTTTCATCAGACGTAGCCCCACGCTGTAATGTAATCATCTAGCACATCATCTTTCAATCTGGCCCAACAAATTGTTATTCACAGAAAAATTACCGTCTCAATGGAGAAGGTCTCGCTTGAAGGATCGTTCAATAGCTGCTAGAAACTCCCATTTATACTTGGGACCGTACTTACGTCACGATCGGTTTCGAATAGGTTAACCACTTAAGTCTGATCTAATTTCAAAGTGACGTCATCGTCAGTTATCGGGTCATCATCATTGAGATCACTTTCAATGGGATAACTGTATTGTACTCGGTACGGTTCAGTGCTCACATCAATACAGGGCTGCTGAGTGGGTGGAATATGGGGGAGGGTCAACTACCAACAATTAGATCTCCAGGTCTTAGGACCAGTTAAACTAAAGCGCAGTGAGATATACATAAAGTGAACCGTTGTAGGAGTGAAATCTTTTTAACAGTAACTGCTATCCTAGCTGGATATAGCCTACCATATTCAGTCAATTTAGGTCAATTTAGGATACCTCGATCTCTCGATGGTGACTTTTGTCACTCACAATGACCTCCCTGATCGTTAGGGACTACGGGTGGAAAATGAGAAATTATAAGTCCAACAGCATCTTGTTCCCTTCATTGTGCTGATTCCGGGAAGCATTCTCTTTTAGCTCTCATCATTCTGTAGAATGAGATATCGTTCATTTAAAATTGGGTAATTATAGGCCTGTCAAGGATTGCAGCCTGCAATTAAAAGATTATCAATTGAAGCTACTTGTGCCATCTAACTGATCAGGAAGGTCATTGTGAGTGACAAAATTCACCATCGAGAGATCGAGGTATCGCAAGTTGAATATGTCCTAGCGGTAGGACATTTTTAGATTTCAGCTTTCTGTGACCCAATTTGACTGACTATGGTAGGCTATCCAACTAGGATAGCTGCAGTGATCGGTCACTGGTCGAAAAATCAGCTTCAAAGCTGTAAAATTTCAGGCAAAGAAACGGCATTAAAAACCGATGCTAGATTATATATGGGTAGAAACTTTAAGCCTCAGTCTTTTTCGTTTGACTTTCCTTTGTTCAGGGGCATGCAAATCCAAACCGAGACTGGTATGTATATCAGTATAATAGAGAAAAAGTAAGTATGATGTAATAAAAGAATTTGAGGAATCAGAACAAATAATTCAGCTAGTTAACGTCCTCGATTTGATCTCAAAAATGGCGAGCTGGAGGCCACTGGCCAGTCTTACAAGTTCTAATCCAACGTATTAGAATTATACCTCAGCTAATGAGTTATGTCTAATTTAAGGTTAAGAGTAAGACTGGATTTGGAGGAAGCATTTAATTAGGGCCAACGAAATATTTTTCACCGGTATTTTGTCGAGCTGAACATCCTGCATCCTTTGAATGCCATGGCGAGCTTGATACCAATCTTACAGGTTCTAATCCGACGTATCAGAGCTGCTTCGTTACAGATTGCAGGAAATAATTCTGTAAAATTGGATATAATTGAATCATGCAATCTGCAAGCACTTCCTCTCAAGTCTCAATCACCAAATTATGACGAATGACCTCGAGCTCTCCATTGCAATGAAAACTATAGATAAGTCATATCTTAACTACATCACTGCAACTCCCATGGTTTAGTGATTATAAAAATGTACACAAAATGGCATCCCTTAAATGTTGTTACATTCCTCGTGAGATAATTGGTTTATAGCTCCCCCAAACGCATGTCTTTATACATGATTGATTTTGGACACGAAGGGAAACACACAAATTTGGCTTGGAAACTTCGTTTATTACATCGCTAGAGCCTACAAAAAAGAAATAAATTAGTCAGATAAAATCAATCATAATACTCAGTCAAAGAGATTCAAAAATTTATAAAAAGGTCATGATTAGAGAATATCATGAAAGTCGATCAGAAATTGGAATACGATAAAATTGTTTCACTGATAGCGTGGTAGATAAAATTTATAAAGAAAAATGACGCAAAATTGGCACAAAATTGTTAAAATTAATTAATTACAGATATTGGTAAAAACCACAAAAAAACTACCTTTTAATTTCCATCCTATTTAAACCCCAAACATTAGTTCTAAACTTTGCACAAAATCTAGCCTCTTCCCTATCTAATAGGGAAGGTTTAGTCTTTTTCACAATCCCGAATTTGAAACAGTCAAAACTGAAAGTGTCCTTGTGTACATCGTAACAATGCATTGATAAGGCTGAGTGCTCGTAGAGGGCACGGTCGTCAATGTTGAACTTGTTCCGGTGCCCATTGAGCCTAATGTGTCTTTATACATTATACTTTTATAGTGTATACGGTTTTTACTCATTCGGCATTCCTTGATCTTTTCACTTTTTTTTCGATATTTTCATAATAATTTCCTCACACATGTATAAAACTATATATTGATGCTTTTCATACAAACAATTTTTTAAAATTCTTTATGTCCTGCATCCTGGGTTTGGACAGTATATATAATTGTTCACAAGTTGAGCAATAAGCATCGCCATAAACTTTCGAATAGGGCATGAAAACACTGTTCTACTACAAATGTGGAGTCACTCGACCTTCTTCTAGAGCTTTCCCTGATCCAATCATCGAAGATGAGCTTCATCATTCATGTACTGCGCACTTGCCCTCTCTATGAATATTTTCGTCACTGTTTGTCCACACAAAATAAAACATTACTCTTCTCAGATATTGGACGAATCTTCGCACTCCCTACAACCATCGGAGACATAGGAAGGTTCCTTACCAAAGCTCATGAACGAAGATTCCATAAAGCATCCTCTTAAAAAATTTCCTAACAATAACAATATTGCCTAATGTAAGATTCGAAACACTTTTATAAGAGTTCATTGAAATTATTAGAAAAATAAATCTCATTCTGAAGATTTGCGGGGATTATTTCTTTGTTTATTATAGTGATTGCAATTTTATTCTCATTCTCTTGTATATATACTTTTTGACTTTTGGGTAAATTTACTTTTTATATTGGGTTAGACATTACCATGTAATTTAACTTTTGAATCGTTTAATCCATTTAATCCGTTTATGTCCATTGTCTAATGTCTATATCCACAATCAATTTTATTGAGGGCAGAAATTGGAGTGTTTAAGTAAAACTCAAGTTTAAAAGTTTAGGGTTATGGTTGGAGGTATGGTTTATAGAGTTACATGGTTATCTCCGATTCTTCGGGTTTGTGGTTATGGTTTGGATTGGGGTAAGGGTTTATGTAAAACCGTTTTCTTTATTAACAGCTTCTTTATTTTATTTTATTTTGACTTAAAATACCCAATCGATTTCTCAGTACAAACAATCAAATGTCGTAACGCGATTTATTTATAGGTTACTTTTAGAAGACAAATTGTCTTAAATAATTTTTTAGCTCGAACACAAGTATAAATTTTGTACAAATTGTACACATTTTTTTACAAATTTTGTGTCTTTAAATATTATAAATGTCGTACTAAAAGATTCGTCTTACCAAGCTGATTAGGATCCTGTCAAAATTATTTCAAAAAAACTGATACTTTTTGAGTTATAGGCATTTTAAGCCTTAAATCTGCCTTTTTTGCCCTTTTTTACGATGAATTTTACTAAGTCGTTTAAGGCCACATTGCATAGCTTAAAACTCAAATCTGAGAGAAATCCTACTCCAAAAAGTTTTATATGAACATCAGCTACACTCACAAGAATTTTTGAAGCGATATCTGCTGACCCGGGTGATTGGTGAAATGTACAACTTTAGAAGTGGGAAAAATTTCAATTTTTATTTTTTCGACCTTGTTTGGTCTGTAACTTCGTCATTTATCGTTCAATTATATAATCCTTTCAATGGCTTCTTGTACGGATTGTAAGTAATGTTCAGTAAACAAATCAGTCAAAAAACTTGTAAAATGGCCGAACTATCGGTATTACAGTGACAGACTTCTCAAAATTTTAAAAATTTTCGAAAAAGAAAAATATATTTTTTCTCGATGAGGGAATATTTTTAGAAAATTTTGAAGGTGTGCAATCTTATTCTTTTTGTCTATTTAACCATAATATAAAATAAAATCGATGTTCGGAGCAAAAACGTTTTTGGTGTATCTCCCCTTAACATTCTCAAACGGGCGTTTCATGAATCAGGATACCCTGGTAAAATGGTTGACAACATAGCTAACAAAGTCCTTGGCATGGAAAGAGTGTTAGTCAGGAAGAGTACGGTCGAGCCTAATGAACAATCCCCGCTATCAGCCATACCAATCAGAGTCATCTCCAGTTATGGAAGTGACAATGACTTGGTGAATGTTGTCCAGAAATACGAAGGTCACTTAAGACGAACTCGTAGTTTTAGTGAAAGTGAGAGTCAGCAAGCCACAAACTCCACCACAGCACCGAAAGGAAAAAATAAACTGTTTCAGTTTGTGAAGAAAACGGGATCTACGCTTAGATCTCACTTTCATAACTTTGAGTACTTTGAGTACTTTGAGTAGGTTTGGCTGGGATCGCTTCAGGACAACAGTATCAAGTACGTCCTCCTATCACTCCACAGGGGTCTTTTTGTAAGTACCATTCCAAGAGTGAGTTGTTGTTAGTAGCGGTGTATCCTTTAGTCGGAGGTGTGTCGGGGAATTCTTTAAGGAATTTAGCCAGTGACGATTTTAACAGGTCCAAAGTAGAGATGGAATTAATTTCTTTGGGGAGAAGATTCCACAGCTGTGCCGCTTTCACTCCAAACGAGTTTTCATAGTGAGTTGCCACAGAACGCTGTGATTTGTTGTTCAGTGCTGGTACAGTAGCTTTTATTCCATGTCGGGGGTTGTTTTTGAACAGCATGCCAATATCATTTGGGGCCAGGCCATTGAGAATTTTCCATGTGTGGATCAAGATGTACCTTTCTCGACGTCTCTGCAACACTTGCCTCGTTACATCTAAACAGCTTGCCTTAGGTGCTAAACATGGTAAAACTGAACCCTGCCACAGAAGAAACTGCAAGTGTTGTAAAATGATCATGAGTAAGGACTCCATCACATCAAATGGCAAAAACATCAAATCAGCCCCTGGTTGTTGCAAGACCTATAACATCATCTATCTTGTACAATGTTCGATTTGTAAGAAAAACTTTGTGGGTAGGACTATTAAGAGCTTGCATAAAAGGATGGACGGACACAGGTCCAAATTTTATGAAATCGTTGATGGTAGAGCATTTGATATTACTAGTGATGAGTATAGCCTAGGAGTTCATTTGATTGACCACGGTTTAGGAGTACATACAGATTTTAATGAAACTTTTAGAACTTTTGTTTTAGAGAACTGAATTGCAGTCCCAGTACACTTGAAGTAAAAGAAAATAACTACATACATTTGCTTAATTCTCTTAGACCTTTTGGCCTTAATACTGTTAATCCCTTTGGATTACCTATATTCCATAAACCTTAATATGATCTTTTTACTTTTTTCGGATTCTTAATTTTGTAACGGCTTGAGTTTCACTAACCTTTTAACATTTTTTAGGTTCAATGTCACTGGAGATGACTACAATCGAAATATATTTGGCAAGAATCTGAATGTTTTCAGTGTTGAAAGTTTAGTTTCTTAAATCCTGGAGTAGTCATTCGTGTCCCTGATATTTGGGTTAATTCTAACTCTCTTATACAGATAATGATATACTGATATAGTCCTACTCCTGCAGACTGGTAACATAATATAACATACCTTTACACGCTGTGACTCAAGGCAGATCACATACGAACTTTTGATTGTGGAATTCAATTAAAATTTCCTATGAGATCCAATTGCCTCCTATGAGATCCTGGCTTCTCAATTTTTGTTTATCTGATAGTGCTGATAAGTGCACCGGCCCTGTTAGGTTCAAGCAGGAACTGTTACTTTCCTTCTTGAACTCATAGTTACCTCCTGAGGCATCCTGACGTGACCTCTTCGGTTATCTCCGATTCTTCGGGTTTGTGGTTATGGTTTGGACTTTGCATGGATTGGGGTAAGTTTTTATGTAGAGACCTCTAAGACCTTCAAAAGCTGAGATACAAATTTCTCATATACGCGCCTGATATGAAATATGGGCGTGGCTCCACTGCATGGTTGGGACTAGCGACACAACATGCGGCCCTCGGTGATTTGAGTTACCAATGGCAATGACCTATTTAACCATATCCAGTAGCAAAAAACTCTATACATCGAAGTCCACACTCAACTCCTCCGTGCTACTGGAGTATGGTAGCCTTAGATTATGAGAAAAAAATGCTATTATTCATAAAATATTCAATATCTTCTAAAAAGTAAAAACGGTATTTATTCGTACGTATTTTTGACTTGTTTCATGCGTTACGGTTCAGTGCGTGAGGTTTTATAAGTGCGTTAAGTGCGTACGAACCAACTATGAGTATGACTGAAACTACAATCCTAACAATTATTTTTAAGATCTGTCGTCCGAGATGGCTGTATTTCTTATAATTATAATTATAAATCTACAGACATTTGAATATATACTAAGGCAAAAGCGTCTCTCCCTGAATATATCTGATATCACGACTATCTAATTGTACTTTTAGGTATTTGTCGTAAAACAAGGGTTCGAGAAAACCCCTGTTTCAGATTTCTAACTTTATTTGTACATGTTTATGTAAAAAACATGTTTAAAATCAATGGCAGTGATGAGAACGACTTTTGCCTCTGGGGTGTCTAAAAATGGCAATATCTTATTATCCAATTTCCGTCCAATTTTTAAAGGTTGAAGATGAAATTTCATGGACCGAACTTTTACAGTTTGATTAAATTGTTGTGCAGCGACCAACTAAGGATTGCATAAGAAAATAGGAGACATTATACAGTTATAGCAGTGGCGTAACGTTGCCTGTTGGCGCCTATATTGTCTTGCCTTAAAGTTAATTCTGACTATGCAGTGGAAACAGGTAGGTTAGAGGTAACTGGACGTTTTAAAGATATCTCTCCCGAGAATTTTGATCTTAGACGTGATCATAATTGCGGTTGTGCCCATTTATACCAACTAGCAGGAACCCGTCTAACCCTAAAATGGTGTCAAGACTCAAGAGACTAAAATAATTATTACTTATTTAATTCGCGTTTTTGACACCACTTGGGAGTCCAAATTTTGGGCACTAAAATTTTATTCCTTGGCCAATTTTTTATTTTTTCATGCTGATTTGAAGGCCATTAAAGGGACCAAACCAACTATATTTACCTCAATTCTCTAGTCTTTTCAGACGCAGAATCTTCTACACTCTCTGACTTCTTCTGATGTCTGGGACTTACGACCCCAGATGTAGCTTTCAACGACGTTTTAAGGGCCCAACGTTCAGCTGTTCATCAGGGTTAAACTGGGCAGGGTCTTTCAGCCAGCTGCCAGTTGTCACTCCAGGTCTTGTTGTAGCGACTAAGCCAGATAGTGTAGGAACCTTTCAGGGACACCACCGCTGTTGTGTTAAGTGCCCTCTTCTTCTTTGCCCGGGTGATGTTAAGGAAGTTGAAAATTCGGGGTAATGTGTGGTGGTAGAATCCACGACATCCAACTTCTACTGTAAAGAGATATCCTTCCCAGCCTGCGGTCTCGATCTCCACCATTAGCTCTTCGTATCTCTTCTCTTTCCGGGATCTCTGGTCCTCAAAGTTCTCCTCGTTTCCACAGGTCAGCTCTATCAGGATGACTTTCCTGAGTGTGTTAGAGTATATTACCACATCAGGTCTGAGAGCTGTGTTGACAATATGTTGGGGGAATTGTCTTGTCCTTTCGTCCTCATCAAACACTAGTTTCCAGTCGTTACCTTCCTCTAGAAGATGAGGTTCTTCTGTAAGCCGTACTTCGGGTTTCCTGTAGGTTCCTTTTCCGGATACGAACTTCCTCCACTCTCTCTTTACTTCTGTCTTTGGGGTAGCACTGTTTATCTCCCTCAGCTTCTCTGCAATTGGTTGCACGATTACCCTGAGCACCTGATCATGTCTCCAAGTATACCTTCCTTGTTTAAGCGACACTGGGCAACACGTTAGAATGTGCTTTAGGTTGCACTGCTGACGCCCACAAAGGGGACAGTTGTTCGTGGAGCTGTAGTTCCAAAGCTGGAGGTTGCTAGGTGTACTTGCAACGTCGTGGATGGCATTTAGGTGGAACTTTGTCAGCTCGGGGCTCAAGGTATACAGCAGGCTTTGCCAGCCAGTGTCTAGCTGCATGGTGTTCTCCCAGGTTAGAAACTTTCCTTGGACTCTCTTATCGTAGAGAGTTTGAAGGAGCTCCTCTTCTTTCAGAGACTTAATTATCTCCACCAGTTGCTCCTTTTTGTTCTTCTTCCTCCTCTGATCACCGAATCCAATACCGGCTCCTTCCCTGGTCTGCACGTAGCCAATCAGTTCTTTGAAGTAGAGGTCTCTCTCCCTATTAGTCAGCTCCTTGGTGTAGTCCCATCTCTTCTTGTCTCTGTTGGTGTTTTCTCTGTACTCGAAAACCTCCCTCACTTTGGGGTCAACCGATGTCTTCAGCATATAGGCCTTGGACACCTGTAGACGAGGCAAAATGATCTGACCCAGTCAAAAAACTAAAAGTTTAAGTTTTATATCTTTTACGGTTTTTGTGGAAATTCGTGTTAAAGTTGATGCCGTGGTGTCAGTAAAATGGCACGGATAAACACATATATATCGTCTCGCTTTATATATCTACTATTTGAATTCCAAAGTCGGTTCACAATCGCACTTCAGTGGCTGGCGCGCCTTTATAAATTCGTGATTCATAACGTGATTTCAGCGTGAGCACTTAGGGCTGATTTCGCTGATCGCTCCGTCATCATTTTGCCTCGTTTATCAACTCTTATTGAACGGAAATAGGAACAATCCTTCCGGTAACGTGGTAGTGAATGGAGGGATGATTGGGTGAAATTTAATCAATAACCAAGTATTCAAATTCCAGTGTCGTTTCACGGAAACGTATTTAGACGTAATCTGATTCAGATCTCCTTCGAGGATTGTTATTTGTTATCTTACGCTGGGTAATGCGTTTATGCTCTACCATGTCAACAATAAAGTCTGCTATTTGACTTCCACAGCCAATTCACTCACTAGTTGTTTTTATAGAAATCTTTCGTGAATTATTGGTAACGTGGCTTTGATTTGAGTGAACACTGAGGACGGATTCCGCTCATTTCTCAATCTTTTTACACATTTTCTACTTTAAAAAGAACAAGTTCTTAAACTCTGGCTGACCGGCAAGAGGAAAAATTCTTTAAGTCCAATAAAACGCGATCACATACCCATTGTATTTTTATATCGTTAAGTCGCCTTAAACCTTTTTATCAGAATGAAGCCCATTTTGATTTAAACAACTTTGTAGTGCTGTTTTCTTATTACTATATGCTTTTTTACACTGCTGTATTAAATATGGTTAATCAGATGCTGAATAAGAACTGAAATGAACAAATATTGAATTGCATCACTTTCATATTTTCATTTATATACTTCTATTATATTATGTCACTATTAGGTATTGTCTTTTTACATTTTCAAATTTGATTGTTACCGTGCAGTGAATAAACATAAATTGTCCTGTAGAACGTAGGTAACTTTATTATTGAGGCCAGAATGATTGTCATTGAGCATCCAGACAACACCATGGTTGTCCAGGCACCTAGGCTCACTAATCAGATGAGTGACAAATATGTTTAAGCTAAAGTGTCATCTTGACCTGATTTTTCTTCAGCAGTGCCATCATCCTTTCATCATGATCCAATATTGTGTTACTGTATCTTTATTTACTTAAAGTATGCTCACTGTTCTACTTTTAGATAGCAGACAAAAAGAAAAAGTGAAGATGATCTATTTAGTGGCAGTGATGCTAATTCTTGCATCATTGGACCAAGCAAAATCAGGTAATAAATTTATTGGTTAAGGAGGGGAGGGTTCACCCTGATTTTTTTGTGAAACTTGGTTTGGAGATAGTAGTTGTCCAACAAACTAGGACCAGTGACCGAACTTTTGAGGGGTTTTCGGACCCCAACCGCCAAACGGTGCCCGCGGGGCAGCCACGCCCATATTTGGTCCAAATTAGGCCCAATTTAGCCAAATACCCTGAACATGCCCAAAACCCAGATTTTAGGTGACTTTAACTTGTAGCTAGTGGTCCCCTGAACTCGTATATGAATTTTCATCAAGATTGGACAAAAAATGACTGAGTTATGAGCCAAAAACCATATGACCATATTTGGGCATACGCACCAAATTTGATCGATTTTGGCCCATAAATTGATCAAATATCAATATTTTTGAATAAAACCAACTTTATATGGAAGGTAAGCCTATACTACACATTCTCTATGATTATCAGCGCAGTATCTACCTAACTGTGGATTCTGTGTTCAAACAATCGCAAAAAATGAACAAAATCGCCCATATCTCAGTTCGCAATATTTGCGAAACTGATTTCACTCAAAACAATAGAACTCAATAGGGTTTCAATATTTTTACATGAAATTTTCAGAATCAACGTAGAATCGCATTTCGACCTTAAGTTTTGTATTGGAATTTTGAGTTAGGCCTTTAGAAAAATTTGGCGGCCAAATTCCAAAATTTGCAATGCAAAATTCAGAATTTGGCCGCCAAATGCTAAATGATACCGAGAATGAAATCGGTCGCCCGCTTTTCCCATGTTGGCAGCGGTCCACTCTACCCAATTGTTTCGGTAAAATTTCTTATAAAGATATAAGATTAAGATAAATATAGTTGTAAGGGGCAATGCTTATAAATTTCACTGTTCAGTGTCTCCCCGTCTCTCTGTCTCCCCATCTTCCCTTTTCCTATCTCCATTTATTTTTTGCTTTAAATAAGCATTCATCTGTAGAAAGGATTTCGTGTATTCCACTACGACCAACGGTACTGGTTTAATAGTCTTTTTAAGAATTACAACCAATCAAATTTACAAATTAGTATTTGATCAGCAATGATGGGCTGCCGGACCAATTAAAACGTCTCCTTGAAAGGTAGACTGGCCAGTCACCTCTCGAATCCCCGATTCTCCATTTTATTCTTCCTGTGTTCCCCTCCCCGTGTTCCCGCCTTTTGCTCGTTCCATTTTTGTCTTCCCTTGTCTTATCTCCATTTATATCTTGCTAATCTTTAGGCCATATAAGCATATTATAATATAACCAAAATGATTTCGAACATTACGCATAAGTTAAATTTAATGGACCAATTATCAATTCATTTATGAAAACAACTCCCCATCAGAACCCAAGGTGAGCGGCTGGGATGACGAAGACTGGATAGCTGCAGACATAATCACCAACAATTACGGAAGTGATGATTTTTACAATCAAACTGGAAATGTAGATAGTGCGGTAGTACAATTTAAAACTGATAGCGTTTTGGGGACCAAAGATTGGATAACTGTTCACTTTTTGAACAAGGATGATGAAGAAACCGGACAGTTAGATCTTTCATTTTATGAAATGATGTTCATAAAGACTTACGGCTGCGTGCAGAACGCAGAATTCTCCGCCACCTTACCGAGTGAAAATGAAAAGATCTGGACCGTTTCTTTTAACGACGAACTAAGGCTAACAATAGATGTCAATGGGGTCATCGTTTACAACTTTTTGATGTCAGAATGTACAACAGACTGGTGGAATGAAGTGTGGATAAAAGGCACAGTATCCATAACAATTACATCACCAGATTCCAAGGATATAGTACTGGACGGTTACAGGGCAAGTACGTCTACCCGTCTCCCCTCTCCCTGTCTCTCCGTCTTCCCATTTATTGTCTGCCCTTGTCTTATTTCCATTTATATCTTGCTAATCTTTAAGTTTAGGCCATTATATAAGCATATAATATAACCAAAATAATTTCGAACATTACGCATAAGTTAAATTTAATGGACCAATTATCAATTCATTTATGAAAACAACTCCCCATCAGAACCCAAGGTGAGCGGCTGGGATGACGAAGACTGGATAGCTGCAGACATAATCACCAACAATTACGGAAGTGATGATTTTTACAATCAAACTGGAAATGTAGATAGTGCGGTAGTACAATTTAAAACTGATAGCGTTTTGGGGACCAAAGATTGGATAACTGTTCACTTTTTGAACAAGGATGATGAAGAAACCGGACAGTTAGATCTTTCATTTTATGAAATGATGTTCATAAAGACTTACGGCTGCGTGCAGAACGCAGAATTCTCCGCCACCTTACCGAGTGAAAATGAAAAGATCTGGACCGTTTCTTTTAACGACGAACTAAGGCTAACAATAGATGTCAATGGGGTCATCGTTTACAACTTTTTGATGTCAGAATGTACAACAGACTGGTGGAATGAAGTGTGGATAAAAGGCACAGTATCCATAACAATTACATCACCAGATTCCAAGGATATAGTACTGGACGGTTACAGGGCTTTCCCAAAAGATGGTAAGTCCAACTTAAACTATATCATGTATATATGAAATGAATTACTATACCTTATCGGACCTTATTTGGACGGACATTAAATGAACAGACATAATTATGAACGGACATTAATATGAACGCTAGAAGGCATTCAAAACCTAACCATCAAAAATCCTCATTTTTTTCATTTTATTAAAAGTTTTCTATTTCAGCAAATGATTTTAAATCCATTTTTATACAGTGAGTAAGAAAAAAAGTCGTTAAGCAGCAAAAACGTTAAAATATGTGTACATGATCAGTGTCTTATCACATATCATCTTCATTAAATGGGGTTTCGTGCATGAAATAGTCCATGCTTAAAGCATCAGTGATTTTTAGTTTTACGGAAACCTTTTTTTATCAAACTACCCCGGTCCTGCATTTCAGTGTTAACTTTTACAAGCCATTCGGTGTGAAGTGGTTTTATCCTAGAAAACTTTAGGTTAACCTTAACATCACAAGGAGCTTTCCTAGCACTGTTTCATTACCTCCCCTGAGTAATATGAACTATAACAACGTCGGACAATTTCCATGTCAATTGTCAACACGATTTACCGTAATATCTAGAGGCTGGAACAAGTTTGTCATGTTGGCGGGGACTAGCTCATGAACTATGTTGTTGAGTGCCATTAAATAATAATTTCGTTGACTTTTTCCGCCAAGTGACCCTTGAAAACATCATATAGTACTAGTAAATTTTTCTGTGCCTCCGGCAGACCAAGGAGAACCCTTCCTCATAGTCATATTCTGGACAAAAAGTTGGAAGTGCAAAAATGTTTGAAAAAAAACAACGGACTTTAACTTGGACGGACATTAAGATGAACGTTAGGGCTCAAGCGTTCATTTAATGTCCGTTCAAATAAGGTTCGATAAGGTAGACTGTAAAGTGTAGACGGCGCATTTGTAACCAATTGCACCATGCATGCATATGGTTAATACTATCGAATAAATAAGTTTATATAACAGAGGAAACAATTCAAACGACAATTTGGCACCAGCCACCCCCCCCCCCCCCCCCCCAGACAACCTTATAACGTAAATGTGGCACTGTGACACTCGTGGCACTAACATGTGGCACTTGCGACACTCACATGTGGCACTTGTGGCACTATCATATGTAACATGTGGCACTTGCGACACTCACATGTGGCACTTGTGGCACTATCATATGTAACATGTGGCACTTGCGACACTCACATGTGGCACTTGTGGCACTATCATATGTAGCATGTGGCACTTGCGGCACTCACATGTGGCACTTGCGGCACTATCATATGCAGCATGCGACACTTGCGGCACTCACATGTGGCACTTACGGTTCCAATATGCTGCATAGTTAGGTACAATACTGCTTTTTTTTGCAAGAATCATCAACTGAACTGGTTGATATTTCAACTTTAAGTTATAAAATTGATTTTTACGATTATATCGTGAGACGTGAAATATAATTCTGCCCGATTCATACTGCGATTCAGCAATCATAAATAACGCTAAAGACGATATTAATTTGTTTGATGATTTCAATCATAATTTGGCTTGTTAAGCTTGAATTGATCAGTGTTCTTATTATATATATCAACCATAATTACATACGATTACAAATTACAGATGACATGATTGTATTACAATTGTGATCATCGGTCAACTACAAAACAAAGGCTCATCGAATATAAATACCTCTCTGTGTGCCTCCGATTGTGAGTCTGAGTCTGACTGACATGAAATTAACCTTTTTGTACATAATAATCTTAAAATTATGATACAAATATGTTTATCTAAAATATGCATTGGCATTGCAATGCGGCACAACCCCATCCCTTAACAAGCTTTCGCCAAAAACTAAACGACTAACCCTGCCTAACGACAAACTTGACATTTTAATTTATTTAAATGTCAATGTTGTCATGTCCAATTTTGCCTGTTATAACTATGTTTTATACTTATAATAAGTGTACCGTGATCGTGATATAATAATACTTATACTGTAACTGTACGAATAACCCCTTTCGATTAATTATAATGGGGTGTGGGGAAGCATTTAAAATTCAGAATAACCAATAAAAAACATCCGCTGCCGACAATTTAAAGTTAAACTGTTTTAATTTAACAATTACAAAAGCAAAAAAGCAATCAACAGTTTAACATTTATTCAAAACGATAAATTGGACCTTAACGGGTGATCGATACTTGTAAAATATGTGTTCCATAAATATTACCGTCCAAATAGGACCGTCGACGAGTCTTACTGGGCCGCGCTCAGCCTGTCATTCCGCCTAATCTCTTTATGAACATGATAGCCTGAGGTCCCCAGGTAATTGGAGGACTTTGCCGCTTCGACGCGCCGCGCGAACTAGCATTCTTGCTTCGTCGATCGTTGCTCTGCTTCGCAGAGCAACGATCTTGACGGATTGACATCGTCAATCAACCTAGGTAACGACGAGTCCAACTCGGCGCGGGTCTTGATGCATGGTATTGGTAAGTTATAAACCTACAAATTGGACCGGGCACAACTATAATATAACGAGCCCACGTCGATCTAATATTTATTCTACTTCAAATAACAATAACACCTGCGGCCCGCCGCCCGTTAATGTTATGTTTCTTTGAATTTGATTGCTTAACCCTAATTAAATAATAACCTTATAACGGCTAACCCTGACCTTAACCTACGATTAACTATTAAACTGTACTGGGCTTCTACTAATTCGCTCGCCCAAAAATTTCACGTGACTTTGGTTTTTGTGATATTGGTTTTGCAGCCGTACAAAACGGTTTTACAAAAACCCTAATCCCATACCAATACCTAAAGGGCCTTTTCACAAGAATTTTCTTAAAATTTGGGCAAGCAATTGCTGATTAGATCGGATGGGTCCATTTTATTTTAATTTTTATTTTGTATAATCAATAATAGTGTTTCCCCTTCGCACGCGATGTTACTTGTTACTTTATAATATTATAAAATTCAGCTCATAGTTATGAACAAAAAATTAAAAATAGATTTGCAAGAAGAAATTTAAAAAAGTGCTAATATATATAATTTAATAGCTTATTAAATTATTTTACGTTGCACGTTGACCATTGTTAATGGTTTGGCCCGGCGCGCGTTACTTCCTAGCTCGTGCCATCCTGTCATTCCGCTAAATAATATGGTTATGAACATAAATATAATAGCCTGGGGTCCCCAGGTAAATTTAAACATTAAATGTATCAAAATAATTCCGGCAAAAATCATGTTAAAATTAAATTAAAACTCTAAACGCGCCGCGCGTATTTCCGAAAATTAACTCCGCAGTATGAAAATCGAGCGCACAAGCAAATACTGTCATGAATCACACATGTACGTTATAGTATCATTGATAGTATTTGAGTGATATCTTTGCATTTCAAAACTAATATTTAGTCTGTTTGGTTATCTTTTTTTCGATATGTAATTTAATTGTTAAGTACGTTTTCATATAATCTGATTTATGTGTTCCAATCGTTTTTTATCTTGTGCTGCTTAATTCTCAAAAGTCGACTTATAATTTGCGACGTATTTCTTATATTATCTTCAGACTTCAACATAATTCGTCATCATACTTAATCGGGTTACATTGATCCTTTACAGCTACATGACTCTTACAAATGCAAGATTTCACTGAATTAGCAATTAGAGAAATAAAAATATTGATATGTGTTGTGGCCATTTCAAAATATCAAAGGAGGTCTTAAAGTTGTTAATAGTTAATAGTACTATGTTTAAAGTATGTTTAAAGTTTTCTATCATTCGGCTGCATTCGTATCATTCGATCATACATTTATTCATTTAAAAAAATTGAAGATCCTACACAAAATATGACTAAAATAACTTATTGATAAAGTTTCTCAAGTTCGTGAAGGGACAGTCTAATAAGGCAAGGTTTTAGAAGAGCTTCAAAAGAATCCAGACGATTGTACAGGGCGGGGGGCCAGAGGGGGGGGGGCAAAAGTCAGTACACATGTTGGGTGTTTTATTTTTGTGAGTTGTTGCTTTGCAGATTGAATACTGTACCTTTACAGGTGGTTCATAAAGGTTGGGAGGCTATAATAATTGTAAATGCCTCTAGCTCCCACTTCTACTACGACAGATATATCCTTTAAATTATTTTCCTTCTGAAATTTTGGCTATAGTAATTAAGAAATGTGACACCTTAGGAGAGACTACATGAAACTAAATTCTTAGGCGTAACAGTCGGTGAAGACCTAAACTGGAATGAACATCTAGAGGTAAATAAGTATTAAAACTGTGGCATGCTAAATAGAATTAAAGATAACATTCCCACATCACTCCTTAAAGATCTGTATCACACTCTGTTTGAAAGCTATCTTGCATATGGAATAACTGTCTGGGGAGGAGTATCTAACAAAAGCACAGAAAATGTGTGCCCGCATAATGTTTGGTGATAAAGAAGCATACCTGGATAAATTTAAAACTAGTGCGTGATGCAGACCCTACGGGGAGCAGATCCTGGGCAACGAATTCTACAGAAAAGAGCATACTAAACCCCTCTTCAACACTCTTCAACACTCATGAAATCATGAATGTGCATAATCTGTACTTCTACCACTGTATTAAATGACATCTTCAAGGTCTTGAAATACAGAACCCCTATATCACTTTACTCCCTCTTTGAAACATCTGGCAGACTTGGCTAAGAGACAGTCATTCTCACACCTAAACCATTAGCTACTTATACAGAGCAGGGACAATCTGGAACACAGTACAATAAAATCTCATGCTAACTACAGTCACCTGTAAGCCCAATCACCTCTAATCATCCATAAAATAACCATCACTCCCACTCAAAAGGAAGGAGAACCAAATGACTGGAACTTAGTCTTAAACAGTGTTCGACAAAATTCAAAAACTTTGAAATTGACCTTGCCTAGATTACTTGAGCTTACAAAAGCTGTAAAATATAACTTGCAGCAGCCCCATACCTTGTCATGAACATAATATCGAAACTACCTCTGTGATCACATCTTTCTCTGGGTGCAAAATGAATATATACATAGGTTTATCAGTTTTATAGAAATTTGAAAGTTCTATAGACATTTATATATGGAATATAAACATTTTATTTGTGTGTTTTTTGTTGTGTATCTTTATAACTATTTAGGAAGAGATTTTTATAGAATGTTAGAAGTGCATACGAATTAAGCATATAAATGACATCATTGCCATTTCTGAAGTGGTTTGTAGATGGGCCATTGTTAGCCCCAAGCGTTTTGGTCCCTCATTCCTGCCACTCAGCATTGCCTACTGTAAAGTAGAAATTTTTCTTAGAAAATAGAGAAACTGACCTTGTCTCACTAAAACTGATAAAAAGTCCATAATCTTGGTATTTCAACACTAAGTCTCGCTTGAATGACTTAAACGTACATCTTTGTTGGGTATATTTTAATGTCGAAGGGTGTAATAAATGTTAGAATTTATTTTTTATTTATTAAATTCCCCTAAATTGAAACCACTTGCCATAATAAAAACACTAACAACCAAATAATTTTTTTTCACCAAAGAATATTTCCTCAAGTTTACTTCTAGGTTCATCCAAACTATCAAATAAATGCGAAAATGGACCTTCATTTAAAAGAAATAAACACGAATATTTTTCGATTCGAACCAATGGTGGTAGTAATTCATACCTTGACTCCCCCTCACCCCTGTACAGTGTACATTCGTAGGAGCTACTACAGAGAAGCTACCCACACTAATCTTAGATCTGTTCAACATATCTTGCAGATAAGTTGGAGCCAATCCTTGTAGAACTTGCAAGATCTTGAGTGCAATCATTTTCTTTATATCCAACCAATAAAGATAGATCAGTCCATCCTCTAGATGGCCTATTAAAATCTTTGGCTTTAGCTAGATCATTTTGTAGTAAATGGAACTTGATGTTATAGCCTCTTGCCAATTCCAAAGTATTTAAAGCTATTACAGTAATCTAAGTAGGATGGCGCTTCAGAGATATTGTTCATAGGAATCAAATTTCCATTTTGATTGAAAAATAATTTGTTGATTCTAATGTGATATATGCTTAGTAAAAATATATTGCAATACTATTGGTTTAAACTGCTTTAGGATATGATACGAAGCGGTGCTACGATTTACATTGGTCAGTGGAAAAGTGTGGTGAACACCAACTCAAAACAGAGCCAGATGCTTTACTTTACGATGTGACTATTACTGATTAATATACCTGCAAAATACTGAATGTGTTTCTGGTTAGTTAATAGTTTTTCTTAATTGTATATCTTATAGCTTTCCTCCACAATTACAACTAACTGCAGAAAAAGACAGTTATGACTCAATTGAACATGTATTAAAAGTCAATTTACCATTGATTCATGCACTTTACCATTGATTCATGCAATTTACCATTGATTCATGCACTTTGGGCTGAAATAGGGAGGGGATGCGATGATGTTTACTTTCATGATTTCGAAAACTCGATTTTCAGGACGCCCGATTATTACAATTACACATGAGTGCTGACCTTCAACTTGACCGGCGATTAATTTGGCTAGGAAGAATAGCAAATATTTCAGATAGCTTATTTTCAGATCTTTGCATTTTTCAGCCTAACGAACCATTTTCTTCAATAAAAAGCGGTCCTAAACAGCACAATGTGACTTCCAGAGCATGAATTTTTACATCTAAGATGCCAACTTAAAGAACCGTTTCACACACCAAGAGCGCTTACACACACTCCACTACTTTTCATCTGGACTCACAATCGTGTCATCTGATATAACCCAGAATATTACATTAAAATTAAATTAAAAACATGGTTAAATTAAAAACATGGTGGACCAAAATGTATCTTGCTGCTCTTTTTTTGCCCACCCTGTGCATGTGCTACAAAGTATTTATCTTAATTTTTGAAAACTTGTCTTCGAATACTTCGATAGCCAATTATAGGGTCACCCACTATTAGAAGAAGGGGGTAAGGAATGGCTTTTGTCTTTTATTGGTAACTGGTATAAATAGTTATGATTGTTACCATTCTAAATCATCAGTTTTCCTTTATTTTTTATCCTATTTGGTTATTTCTATTTTCGAGCTGTCATGTACATGTATTTTCAGACTAAAGTACCTAAAGATCACAGAATTCATTTACATAGCTAAAGTGGATCACAGAAAACTGCAGAGAACAAGATGGAACATTATATCAGTGCTGCAGGTAAGCAACAATTTGTCTTATAATGTGGTAATCGGTTCTTATCTTAACTACCGAACGAGTTTGGTATATTCAGTCAAATGATGAAAGTCATTGATAATCAAACAGATGCAGCCATCTTAAAGGACCAGTTAACTGAAAAAAAAGTTATCCTCATATTTTGACAGATTGTGACAAATAGCAAACTAAGCAACGTGTCGAAATTCCTAAATCTCTAACTGCTTCTCTAACGCGTGTAAATAGCGTTTGTATTATTTTGGCGCAAGTCCCTTGCGCGCGCAGAAGAGCTCGTGAGACTGTATTTTACAGGTAGAAAATGGACATAATACAATGTTTTTCCCCGAATAACTCGAAAAGTAAGTAATTTAGGGTACATGTTGCTTCATAAGTTGTATAATGTATATAAACATGGCCATTCTGCACAATTTGCACACATTCAAAAACCTTTAGGGCCTTCATAGCCCAATTTACCAGATATCCATAGTTTTGCATGATTTCTGGAACCGAAAATCAGTTTTTCGCCAATAAATGAAAAAGTAAGCACTTTAAGGCATATGTTTGTTCGTAAGTCATATATTAATATGTGCGGTTCTTTTGCACCCTGTCTAAAGACTCTATCACGATCCTATCGAAAATGGGCTCAGCACCACGCCCAAAATGGTTTTTGGCGAATTTTTCGAAAAGTAAACACTATATAAACATGCATATGCGGCTTCGTTTAAGCCTATTTTGAAGTCTCTACGACCTTCAGAAGCAAGAGGTCGGTTACGTTATTGGGTCAATATGGGCGTGGCCCTCCTGGGTTTTCTCCACGGTAAAAAAAATGTCTCCAAACGAAAATCGTTTATTCATACCTTCGGGAAGGTCTGTGCAAAGTTTCGTGAGTATTTGAATATTTGCAGGTTCATTTCCATAAATGTCCATAAATAACTGGACTACACAACTTTAGAGTTAACTTTAGAGAAACTCATTAGTCATTTATCTCAAATCAAGCTGTTAGTGTCCATGATCAACCTGTGGCGACAATGTTTTACGTGAAATGTAAAAATCAGGAGTAATATAAAAAGTGTATTTTTAGATTAAAGTGCTAGCTCATAGTTTTAGAATTATATAGATTAACGTTGGTCGTTTAGCCATCTAACAATCGATCGTGCCGTAATATATGGCCAGAGAATAATAGGGTCTTGGAAATTCTATAGTTGTTCAGTGGGTCGATTGACTGAACACGTTTGCACTTGGTATTTAAACTTACCAGTAGTTTATTTATGTTATGTACCGATGATAATGCAATTAGGATAACAACTAGGTAAGCCGTAAGTCTAATTCAAGACACACCGCACACCGTACACTCCAAGTCCAATCAGTATTACTATTTGGTAGACCCGAGACCGGGTATTTTGGCGGGAATTCTGTTCCCACGGCACTGTTCTGATAGAAGCTACTTCTACTAATGGTCCCAGAGGAACGGCCGTAAAGTAGCCAGACTTCTTGTCTCCTGTGCTGGCTGACACATGCGGATTAAAGTTATAAATTTCGCTATGCTATAAATATAATTGCTCTCGGAATTGAATAAACTCCTACTTATCTAGATCCTTTCTAAATTCGTTAGAGTTTCATGGACTGGGGAAAAATAATCGGCACAGTCTCCCTAGCTGCTTGTGTAATTAAGCAATGAAAACAATCCAAAATTATCACATATGACATAAGTTGTAATAGCAGAAACTTTCTAACCGTACATTCACCCGCCACTGTTCAAGAACCTATATCACTGTTTAAAATCATGACGTGAGCACTGTACATCCAATCAGCTATTCCTTTAGTTAGAATGATAGCCAAAACTATAAGGATTTTGGAGAACTAGGGTAATAGTCATAATTCTAAAATTTGAGTGAGTTACACGTGTTTTATTGACGATGATAAACATTTGTAATGTAAATTACGCTATGCAAGCGCGCACTGAGGGACTTTATGACGTCACGAGGCCACAGCTTATTTTTGCAATAACACGCGTTACAAGTACGCTAGAGAGTTGGTTCTTTCGGCGATACGATTCTTTACCAGTTTGTCACAGCTGATTTAAATCTTAGCCAAATTTGAGACTACAAATTTTTCAGTTAACTGGTCCTTTAAGAAGAAGGGGTGAAATTTCACTATCAACCAAATTCCACATTTTTCACTGTCATGATAGCGCTAGCAGGTGCTGATAAGACGTGGGCTCATTTACTTATGTTTAACTACAGTTGAAACAAAGCACTATCTACTCTGCCCTGTTCATTTATCTTTAATCGCAAATTAGCTGATAATTATAAGAAACTTAACAAAATTTGCTGAGGACATACAAACCTTGCGGGCCAGTTTCAACCCTTGTAACTTAAAAGTGCAAGGGGCCATCTACTTAGGATGTCCGCCAAAATCGTAGATTTTCAGACCACTTCCCCCTGTCCGGTTGTGTCCGAATTTTCAAAACCAATCCCGGCGACCCTCCCCCAGACATCCAGATTTCCAGCTACTTTTAAGAGTACAAATAAAACCAACTCAATTCATTGTTAATAAAATTCAAAGGGTTGAAATAAAATTCAAAGATTTGAAATAAAATTTACGGACGTCCGGATTTTCAGAAACCACCCCCCTCCCTATTTGCCGGACGTTCTAAGTAGATGGCCCCAAATGTAATTGATCAGTCGGCCTATAAACAGTCAAATCAAATTTATTTTTACTTTGTTTTAGTAAATCATGATATGCAAGTTTTGATTATGCAAGTTTTTAATTTTTAAGAATAAATTATAAAGCAAAGGATACACCATAATTTTCAATTATTATTTTCACTTACCTTAGTTCGTTTATTTATGGCGGGTAATATTGTGGCGAGTAAAATGTTGGCGGGAAAAAATATGGCGGATTGTCCGAAAATCCGCCATATTTTACCCGCCACTTATTTACGGTATCAATCAGTTTGACAGTACAGGTCATTACAACCAAAGTATTTGAATAAAACCACATCGCTGTGGTCGGAATACCTAGAAAGTGAGTTCGTGACGCTTGTTTCAATGTAAAATAGGAACGATAAAATTATTATGGCATGCGTATACCCTGCCAGAAATCCAAAAGTTGACTAGGCGGGTTTTATTATGGCGGGTATAAAAATAATGGCGGGTAATATGGTGGAATTACCGAAAACCGCTGAATTTAACCCGCCATAATTAAACGAACTAAGGTATATTAAATAAAATTATATTGTTATGTATCATATAATTTTGTAAACATTGGCCGGTGTACCAAAAACCGGTTCCCAAGTAAACAATTGATAATACATAATAAATACTGTTGCAGGTTTGGTCACCTTAAAATCAGCTACTAATGTTACGGAGGTCTCCTGAAAAGTGCCATTAGAAAAGCTGCTTATAGAAACAAACGCCAGACACTCGTCACTCCCTGCATGCAACCAAAGAACGCTAACCTCTTCCACAGAAACTCGCCTTGGTCAACAAGCCCGTCTATGGAAATACATGGGGTGCAACTTGCAGCTAAACTAGCCGAAATCAGAGAAATCAAATTAGACATTGTCTTACTTCAAGTTATAAATAATGTGACTAATATGTATTGTATTTGAGGACAGTAAATATGAACAATTTATTATGAATATGCCCAATTATAACTCTAAGAATTGGACTTTTCACCTTCGACTTATATATCTTTAAAAATATTAAAATATACTACAGAAGAATGAAGACTGTTTGGAGTGATTAATAACATCGGTTAAGGTTTTGTATAATAGTCCTTCAGACTGCTAAAAACGAGGTATAAATGGAACGCGCGTTTTGTAACTCCGTCTTGATATATAAAGGATCTTATTTTGTATTCGAATTCAACACCGCGCGTAAAGCGTGGACGTGACGGTCCGGCCTTCGATTGACTGACGATGTTGAGGCAATAGTCAACACGGTATAGTATAGTTTGCAGAAAATTTGCCCGGTTTAGAATCACTCAGTTTACAAAATGAGTGTTTTTAATTTCATTGAAAAAATGTATTATCATCATGGTCCATAAACCAGCTGTTACAATATTATTTTGTGTAAATTCAAGCATCGAACTCCCTACCTTCTGGTTGCGAGTCCGGGAGAGCACCCTTACACCACATTAGTGCCACATAAACTTGCGACACTCAAAAAAGTACTTTTGCGACACTATGAAAAAAAAGTGTGGGCTATGTGGCACTCTGAAAAACATGCGGCACTCTAATGTGGCACTATAATGTAACACTTTGGTTCTGGTGTCGAAATCTTGCAGTTATGAATAAGTTTCGTTCTTAATTCTAAAGCAACTTCTAAGTATAGATGAACAAGATTAAGCTCAATTATCAGTATTTTTCGCAATCAGACTGTAATTCATAAAAGGATGGAAAGCACTTTAGTGTGACGGGTTGTGAACCTTCAACTAGTTGGGAATATATTAATATCTGCATAAAAGCTGGAATAATTTGCTAGGAGAATTATTACACAATTTATAGAATAATTTATGGACCATCAGGGGTCGTTCACATATTACTTTATCATTCACATTTTTTGGTGGCATGGTCCTGTTATGCCTCGGTGCAGTTTTCTGAGGATTGGGATGTCGCAAAGATTACTCATACTTCTTACATAAAACTAGAGCCTTTTGATAGTCAAACAAGTGACCGATTCTGTCTTAACTTTTAGAACGTGTGCAGTTTGTTTTTATACCGAGGTTCTTTAAATTAATATTTCATGTTCTTCATCAACGAGCTATTCAGTTTTATGTCTACATCTATATTGGTAAATATTATATAAACAGATTTTAACGTTTCGGAACAAGTTCATATTTTCAGATGACTCCAAGCTAATTCTAACAATCGTTGGGTGAAATTGTGTCAGCAGATTAATTTTTGTGTGCCCTTAAATACTGTTTTAATTGTGTAATAAGATTTTGATTTCTTTAAAAGTAACTCAAACTATTTCCACACTAAAAAGCAATATAAGCTATTAGTAAAACTCGAATTGCATAACTTTACCACTAGTTTAGGACATACACAGTACATATTACAAAGAGTATAGTGTAATGCCAAATATTAATGCCACAAATGTCTTACTCTAATTTTAAAAGTGCCACATTCATATGGTGTCGTTCACATATTACGTAATCAGCCGAGGGGGAAGGGGGGTTTCCAAATGATTACGCTTGTGTACTTTTGACAGAATTATAGCTATACGTATTTATATTATTATACGTATTATATAGGGGGGGGGGGGGTTAAAAATTGTCCAAAAAGTGATCAACAAAACCAATTTATTTGATCAGGAAGAAGCAAGATTTTGTTCAAATTTTAAAACTAACGTTTGAGGACTTAATACAATGGAGATAAAACAGTAATTTGTTTATGTTTAGACTTTTTATTTATTTCACTCAGTGCATCTTAACAAATTTGTAATCTTTACTTGCAACCTGGATTATTTGATAGAATCGGTCGTATTTACAAATAAAGCTGTAGAAGAAGCTGTAGAGGATATAATATACTTAAATAAGAATTCTAACATGCTATGAATTTTGCCCTTTGATTAAATTTTGCCTTTGTTACAATTTGTAGTTGTACGTTTGAGTTAAACTTAAATAAACTATGATGATATGAATTTTACTTGATAGAGTGCTTATCTTAAATGTTTTAGTTTTACAGGCTCTAATGATGTAGTTTTACGGAGATTGTAAGCCTTACATGTGTGTTTCCCTTCGTGTCCAAAAGTTAAATGATATGATAATGTGCCATAAGTAACAGTACTAACAGTGTCACATATTACATACCTTATCGGACCTAATTTGGACGGACATTACTTGAACGCTGGAGGCCCTAGCGTTCATTTTAATGTCCGTTCAAATAAAGTCCGTTCATTTAATGTCCGTCCAAGTTAAAGTCCGTTAAATTTTTTAAAAAATGTTTCCATTTCGAACTTTTTGTCTAGAATATGTCAACTATGAGAACTTCATTGTGCCGTAAGTTAACGACAGAAAAGTTCTGAGGTTCTCGTTGTTCTGCCGGAGGCACAGAAAACTTTTCTAGTATATATGATGTTTTCTAGTATATATGATGTTTTCAAGGGTCACTTGACGGAAAAAGTCAACAAAATTATGGCACTAAATAACATAGTTCATGAGTTAGTCCCCGCCAACATGACAAACTTGTTAGCTTAGGGGAGATAATGAAACAGATAAGTGCTGGGAAAGATCCACGTGATGTTAAGGTTAACCTAAGTTTTCTAAGATAAAACCACTTAACGCTGAATGGCTAGTAAAAGTTGACACTTAAAGGACCGAGGTAGTTTGATAAAAAATGTTTCCAAAAAGTGGGTATTACTGATGCTTTAAGCATGGAATTTTTAATGCACGAAAACCCATTTGATGAAGATGATATGTGATATAAGACAATAATCATGTACACATATTTTAACACGTTAACTGATTTAAGATTGCTTTTCTTGCTTACTGTATGAACGATTGATTTAAAAATCATTTGCTTAAATCAAAAAACGTAAAAAAAAGATGAAAAATTCGGATTTTTGATGGTTTTGATTGCTTTCTAGCGTTCGTATTAATGTCCGTTCATAATTATATCCGTTTAAGTAAGGCCCGATAAGGTATAATTTAGTTCTGCAAGTGCGCATTTTAGTGCCAAAAGTGCCACATGTTACAAATGAAAGTGCCGCAAGTGCGCATTTTAGTGCTGCAAGTGTCGCATGCTGCATATGAAAGTAAAGTAAAGTCAAGTAAAGTAAAGTAAAGTAAAGTAAAAATTATGACATAACATCATCACACATGTCTACAAAGTATCAAATCACTATATGGAAATATATAAATATCTTACCACCAAAATTAAAGTGCCGCAAGTGCCACATGTGAGTGCCGCAAGTGCCACATGCTACATATGATAGTGCCACATGTGAGTGCCGCAAGTGCCACATGCTACATATGATAGTGCCACAAGTGCCACATGTGAGTGCCGCAAGTGCCACATGCTACATATGATAGTGCCACAAGTGCCACATGTGAGTGTCGCAAGTGCCACATGTGAGTGTCGCAAGTGCCACATGTTAGTGCCACAAGTGTCACAGTGCCACATTTACGTAATAAGGTCGGCTCCCCCCCCCCCCCCCCCCCCCCCCATTCAAGTTGCCTGAAAGATGTTTATGAATTTAGTTGTTTTCCTAGAATGACGGTAATCTCCTTCAGATCCCGAGGATGATGGAAGTGGCAACGAAATTGACGAAGATGATATTGATACAAATAGCGAGGATGACGATACGAAGACCAATAATGAAAATAACCATGACTACTCAGATGCTGGATATAGCAAGATCAGTACAATTCTATTTGGTACTTTGCTGTGTACAATAAACATGATTTACTAATAGGGGGGGGGGGGGGGGAACCAACATCCTAAAAGGCCCTAGACGCATCGAAAATCCGAAAAGGGCCCTAGAAATCGGGGCTTTTTGGGGCCTTTTGGGGCCTTTTGACCCTGACCACTAATTGAAAGTGTTTATGGACCATAATCTCCATGTAAATACACTCAAATAAACATAAAAGTACTGTTCAAGTAGTCAGATAATATCATTAAACCACTTAGCATATATCAAACTTGATGAAATTTCAGTTAATTCTAGGGCCCCAAAAGGCCCTACAAATATGGAAAATCCAAAAAGGGCCCTAGAAATCGGGGCTTTTTGGGGCCTTTTGGGGCCTTTTGACCCTGACCACTAATTGAAAGTGTTTATGGACCATAATCTCCATGTAAATACACTCAAATAAACATAAAAGTACTGTGCAAGTAGTCAGATAATATCATTAAAGCACTTAGCATATATCAAACTTGATGAAATTTAAGTTAATTCTAGGGCCCCAAAAGGCCCTACACATATGGAAAATCCAAAAAGGGCCCTAGAAATCGGGGCTTTTTGGAGCCCCGATTGGCCTGGAAATTGGCCTGGAAATGTTTGAACACCGTAATTATAAAACAAATAAAGACGAATATGAATGAATATGGTCGGATATCAATATGGCCACAAAGCATGCACGCATGATATGACCCAATCTATCATTATATAATTATAGCCATACTAGATCTTTAGATTTAAACGTTAAACGTGTAGCTTTTGGTCTCCTAATAAAACTGCATTGAAAAATTTATGGAATTTAAAATATCAATAATTTTAAACGAAAAACATTTTATCTAAAATGTTTTTAAGATCCACATCGTATTGTGGCTTAATATTTGGTACATTTGTATTCTCCAGTATCAACTTAACACCAGAATGTGTGTGTGTGTGTGTGTGTGTGTGTGTGTGTGTGTGTGTGTGTGTGTGTGTGTGGGTGTGTGTGTGTGTGTGTGTGTGTGTGTGTGTGTGTGTGTGTGTGTGTGTGTGTGTGTGTGTGTGTGTGTGTGTGTGTGTGTGTGTGTGTGTGTGTGTGTGTGTGTGTGTGTGTGTGTGTGTGTGTGTGTGTGTGTGTGTGTGTGTGTGTGTGTGTGTGTGTGTGTGTGTGTGTGTGTGTGTGTGTGTGTGTGTGTGTGTGTGTGTGTGTGTGTGTGTGCGCGTGTGTGTGTGTGTGTGTGTGTGTGTGTGTGTGTGTGTGTGTGTGTGTGTGTGAACGGTTATACAAAACGGTAAGAGTTACGGGACTGGTTTTTTCGGTATAGTGCCGATAAAACTCTGATGAAGCCCATAAGCAAATTTATTTTAAATCGGCCGGTGGTAAGTGGTTTTAATGATGGTTTTGTACCAAAATGTTACATAAAATGGCTTGAGCAGAACGGCAAGAGTTACGGGGCTTGTTCTCTCTATCACATTACTGTATAACATGTAGCTGCATTTAAGTAGCGTCATAATTGGGTTAGCCCGGGAAGATTCGCTGTAATGTAATACCATAAGCTTATTAGGGGAGGGGGACTGTTAGTGTTTGGAGTCTGTTTGGACAGCAGAGAGAAAGTTCATACGACATGCGTGTTTTCAAATATAATAGGCGGGTGTGGTGCGGAGTTAACAAGGGTTAATTTCTATAACGATTTAAATAAAAATGGAAAGCGGTCTAAGACGGGAGTGATGAGGTGTAATAGTCGGTGTTCAGACCTTATGATCATGGAATGTGGTGCCTCATGGCTAATAATGACTTAATTATCCACAAGAAATAACTGATTATGAGATTATTGTTTAAGAAACTATTGGGTCACCTAATGCGGGTTTTGACTCAGCGGGTAATTTAAATTACTCCTACCCTTTTTAACTGCGGCAGTGAAATCCCGGCCGTAGGCCGGGTTACACTAGTATAATTATATGGGCATTGGGTATATATTAATACTGTATATATGGATGTAGCGTTTCTGTTCATGTTTACTGGCTACTGCCCAGCTATTTTTACAATTGAATAAGACATTACGACAGCAGAAGCTACAGGTATTTCACCCAAAGCTTTGATTTCAGCATGATTTGTGATTTAGTAATAATTGGGTAGTTCGACAATTTCTGGCGCGACCCCATCACATACCCTTTTAAGTTTAATGGTTATTAGCTAATTAAGTTATATTACTTGACAAATTAAGGTTTGCACGTGGGTTACCGTTAATGTTATTTGGTTATTTACACTAGTCAGACTATACTTTTATCTTTTTATGAATATGCAGTGGGGATTTACTGTTTACTAGGTCAAGATTAACAAGATTTACAAAATTTCCGTTATTCAGTTATTTGCATTCAAAGTATTCGATTTTATTTTATCAAATCAATTATGTGTGCTTTTAAATGATTTAAAAAATTTTTCATTGATTGTAGAATGCGAAATTTTTGAGTGTGCTAAATCACTAACACAGTGTTAGTAACATTTAGCAGTACCTACACGATCAATTTTCGAAATT